ACCCTGTAAAGTAGACCAGTATGAGTCCTACTGTAAAGTAGATCAGTATGAGCTGCATCCACCGGCATGAAGCTGGTGAATCCTTCACTTCCAGAAGCATTGCACTGCAAACTTGCTGATTGTGTAATGCTTGGATATGAATAAAGAAAGATTATAACACAGATGGAACAGGCCTAAAATGGGAGGGAGAGAGAGAGAGAGAGAGAGAGAGAGAAAGAAAGAAAGAAAGAAAGAAAGAAAGAAAGAAAGAAAGAAAGAAAGAAAGAAAGAAAGAACAAGAGAGAGGGAGGAAGGGAGAGAGAGAGAGAGGCAGGGAGGGAGGAAGAGAGAAAGAAGGAGAGAATGAGAGAGAGGGAGGAAAGAAGAGAGAGAGAAAGAAAGAGAGGAAGGAAGGATAGAAGGAAGTGTTGAGTGTAAATTAAAGTATGGGTCTGCATTATATTTACATATGGTAATTTATAGGTACCAAAAAAAATAGCAAACAGAATCCAATTTGCAGTTTATACTTGTATAAGCGAAATGACACAAACTGCAAGAATAAGTTGCTGCTCATTAATGAGGTGCTTGTCGTGTTCCTGGCCACACACCTGATCACCCAGGTTGGGTACCCATCCCGGAACACAACCAACCCTGTGTTAATTATCGGCAATTTGTCTCTGTGACTTACACCTCTGCACTTACTCAAGCATAAACCAACAGTTGAATTCTGGACGTTGCCATTTAAATAGAAGTGCAGCTCAACTCAGCAGAATACGGAGGACAGTGACACAATTTGCCTATCTGCTCCATCAGCTGTCCAGCGGTCTATATTTAATTGCCAAGTTCCAGAAGATACTTCCTTATTAGGGTTTGTTATTTTCCCACTGGATTTGGACTGGGCAGATTTTCAAACAGAGGATCTCATCAAAGAATGGGCAGGTCCATAATTGCATTTCATATAAAGGACTGACCCTTGCAAGGAAAAACACGTGGTTCCTGGAAGAACATTGTAGATAGATTGTAGTGTTGTGGGGTTGAGGCTGGCTTGTCCCCTGGGGTGGCCAAGATCAAACCCCTACTGCAAGTCACTGGGTGGTCTTGGGCCCATCATTCTCTCCAATCGTAGCCTTCCTTCTATCTATCCTTCTGAAGATAAATGGAGACAAAAGGGCAATCCATGGTTTTCATCGATTAAAAGCAAGGCAGAGACGTAACTAGCAATGATACATGCTCCTCCTGTCCATTCATACCAGTTGCTGTACTTACTTAGTGGGATGGGGGAAGGCCATTCTGTATATGGTCAGAAGTACTCTGCAAAGCTTTAGACCAGGGATCTCCAAACTACGGCCCGTGGGCCACATCTGGCCCGCCTTGCCTTTTTATCTGGCCTAGCGAACGTAGCAGACTCAGGTGGGTTCAAGTCCGTTCGCTTCAGCCAGTGTGAGCGGGCAAGCAGGCATGTGGGCAGGCATGTTCCTTTGGCCCTTGAAAATGTGGAACATATATGATGTGGCCCTCACACTGAAAAGTTTGGAGACCCCTGCTTTAGACATTACAGTGAAAGCAGGTGAAGTTTGGCAATTCCTGTACTGCATTTGTATGGAATCTAGGGCAGATAGTCTCCCAAGCAAGTCCCTGATTGCAGATTGTGTACGTGTGCTATATGCAGTTAAATTGCATCTTGCCATTAGTGACCCCAATACAGCCTTCAAGGTAAGGGAGATATTTAAGGAGTGTTTTTACCAGTTCTGCAACAACACACATACATAGCCCGATGAATTTCCATGACCAATCCAGGTCTCCTGCATCCTAGTCTGGCACTCTATCCACTCCACCACACTGAGTACCACGCCATCAAGCAGAAGGAGACAACCTCATCCAGATGTTTGGGAGGCAGTAAGTCTTTGTTCTTGACCTCTTTTTGCTTTTCGACTATTGCAGAAGAGAAAGTCCTCTCAGGTTGTGGAGGATGCTGCTCTACGAAAAATAACTTCGTGCCACTGAGTCAATTTTGACTTACAGCAACCCTTTCCAGGGTTTTTTTTTTTAAAAAAAAACTCAGAAGTGGTTTCCCATTCCCTTCTTCTGGGGACACTGTTGGAACCGAGCAGCTTGCCCAAGGCCACATAGGCTGGCTCTTCTGGGAGGTACAGTGGGGAATTGAACTCCCAACCTCTTAACTAAACCACTGAGCTATTGACAAGGCTGTTGGCCTTTTTAGCCTTTGTACAGTATATAGAGTGAAAGGCACACCCAGCAACAGCATGTCATGGGTCAGCCTTGTAGGATTAGCCCAATGCGTCTGTTTCCTTGATTTCAGTGCTCAGACACATCCTGGTGCTAGTCCCTATTGTTCTCTGAAATTATGCACCTAGGTTTCATATTTGTTACACCACAAATCAGTATGTATATGTCATCTAACCGGGAAGGGGAGCTGACTTTTTCTTTCTTTTTTGTTTGTTTGTTTTGGATTGCAACATCCTTTTCCCTTCTTATATGGTAAGCTTAGAAAATCTACCCCACCCTTCTTCTTTTCAGATAAACAGGAGAAAATGGAAAGCAAGGGAAAGGGTGGGCTAGGATTGCTGCATTTCCTGGAAGGGTGGCCAGTTCTTGAAAACGGAGTGAGGATGGAGCCTCAAAGAGCAGAGCACAGCTTTGGGGAGGAAAACGAGGCTTCTCCCATTATTTTTATGGCAGTAGTCCTCTAGACATCCTCTCGCCCCCAAAATGAATGAAAGAATCAATGAATGAATCAATCATTCAATCTGGAAAAACCCATGAAGACAGAGAAAGAAAGAGTTACTGTGTCTTTGCCCAAAGGGAAACACAAATCCTGCTTGTCCACCAGTTATGGAGAATTTTACAAGACATTTCCCATAGATGTTGGGGACTAGAAACTTGTTTTGTTTAAGCGTGCTGTTACTTATTTACAAGCATGTATTACTGTCACGCATTGCACCGTCATGTATTACCATTTACAATTATTTTAAGGTCACCTTTAAAGGGTCAAAACACTCTGAAATACAAACTCTGAAAGTCCCTTGAAGGCAGTTTTCTGTGCAGTTTCACCAAAACTGAGTGTGTACCTTGGGCTCTTTGGAAAGCAGAATAAACACAGCTGCGTTCCCGATTTCATTACCAAACCTCTCTTCTTTCACAAGCCTTTTCTTCTACGCCCATGTAGAAGAAAACCAGCCCTGCTTACTTAAAACTCATAATTTTTGTTTCCGCCAGGCAAGTCCGGAGCAAAATGCTGTACCTTTTTATTATGTTTAGCTTACATTGCGTTGCAGGAGGACAAAGGCTGGAGTGGACACCCAGCACTATATTTGAATGCAAACATGCCAGTCACACCTCTTGGGTTTCCTGCTGTTCCTCTGTCACTCGGGCTTGTTCTACCATCAATAAATATATTTTATTGCAGCCACGTTGGGAAAGATTTAAAGCAAAATGTGGGAACATTGTGTTTAAGGACTTCCAGAATGCTTTAGTCAGCATTGGGGAATGTGGGAACATTGACTATGACTTCCAGAATGCTTTAGTCAGCATTGGGATCAGGTCTCCAGACTCCCACTTCATGCAATGATCTGGTCTGCTTCTTAGAATGCCTTCTCCTCATGCAATGATCTGGTCTGCTTCTTAGAAAACTAGAAACGGAAGTGAGGCCGGCCCTATCCTTAGGCAGAGTGCACTGCTTATCCCAGGGGGTCAGATGCTGGGGGTGGCTGTAAGGTACCAAAGGAGAAAGCTGTCAGCCGTGTGGCTTGCCCTACACTAGGTAAGCTAGCCAGCTGTGTCCTGCTGGATAGCTCAGTGGTTTAGGTCTACAGCTGTGGAACCAGGAGTTGGGACTTCGATTCCCCACTTGGCCTCCTTGACACGGGCTGGACTTGATGATCAATAGGGCCCGTTAGCTGCTATGAAGAGGATGATCTCCCATTCCAAGCACTGAAAGAGGATTCAGCTGTCACTCCAGGAAACCTCTGTGCATGCCATGGGATTGAGTGCCCTCTCACCTTCTGCCTCAGACTCCAGGACATCTTAGGCCAGTTCTGAAATTAAAGTTAAAAGGAACCCCCTCTGTATGATTGATTGATTGAGTCATTGATTCATTCATTGATTCATTCATTCAATTTCTATACCACCCATCTGACTACAAGGCCACTCTAGGAGGTTCAGAACATCATAAAGATAACAATTCACATTTTAAATAAATTTGGAAGATAATAGCAGTACAAAAATCAAAGTGAACATATCAATCGACTTAAACTGAAAGAAGGGAGTAAGGAAAAAACAGCATAAAAACAGTTAATGAGAGAAGGTGGCGGAATGGATAATTTCTGTCTGCTGCTCTAATGATGGCATATCCGGGAAAGCCTTCTGAACAACTAACTTTTCAAAGATCTCTTGAAAATTGGCTGGGAACTACCCCAGTCTTGCCCAAGACTCTGAGGAACTTTTATCCCCTGTCAGACGTGGCAATAATGGGTGAAAGGAGCCAAAGTTCACAAGCTTGGGTCCCCAGATATTTTTGGACTAAAACTCCCAGAAGCCTTCACCACTAGCTGTGCTGGCCAGGATACGTGGGAGTTGTAGTCCAAGAACATCTGGAGACCCGCAGCCCACTGCTTTGCACTTTCTGGAGTTCACATGCTAAAATCCATCACTCTCAGGGTTTCTGGGGGATTGGGGGGTGGTCATGTATTAAAGTAACTTTTCCCAGTTATGCAGTAGAAAGGCTCTGGTTCTGGTGATGGGTCCTTCACAGATTCAACTGACTTGAGACTGCCTGCCCCAGTCCTGCTGTCTGAATGTCTAGCCTCTGGTTATGACCAAAAAAACGCCCATCTGGATCATTGCACAATTTGTTTGCATTCCTGTAGGTGGATGAAGAGTCGGAGCTGAAGTTGGCAGAACGGGAGAAAGAAATTGAGGCCTTTCCTCCCAAAGAAGCGTGTAAATGTCATGCTGATGAGCTGGCAAAACGGATGCAGGTAAGGACTGTAAAACCTTCTCAGAAAAGTCAGCAGGGCAGAAAGATTTCAGAACAAGCAATGTGGGAAAGCTGCCTTCTTGTTTCTTAACTTCACACAGACTTTTGGGAAAGCTGTATGTTTGTACTGCAAATCCCAAAATCCTGTTGCAGAGCCTTGAAGAATTTTTTTTGTTAAATTCCTTTAGCTGCACAGCAAAAATGCAGGTATTCAAAGAGCAGAATAGCTTCAAGTTCCATAGAGCAGACCACCCTTTTTTTTCCTCATTAACTGGCACTTGCAGTCTGAATGATTTACTCTGAGATAGTAAGAAGAATAAAAGATTTCACGACATACAACTGAACAGGTCAAACAGCAAACTGGCAAACTTGACTGCTTTTAGCAACAATTTCAAAAGACTTGCTGGCTGCTTCCAACAGATTAAAAGAGAGGGCAAGAGACACAGAGCAGAGAGGCGGGTCTTTCTTTGAATTCAGAGGCAGCGCAGGAACAATTGGTTATTTCTAGATAGATTGACAGTCACTCCAGCCCACAGATAACCCTCTAAGCCAAAGCTACTAAAGTCATCATGTGAGGTTGCAAAAACTCCAACAAGTCCTACACCGGCTAGCTTGGGGATCCTGGGAGTTGTAATCCCAAAAAGCAACCTTTACTCATCCAGGTTTCAATCAGTGCCTGTTCATTCCGTTCCCCAGGTTGATTTACAAAAGGGACTTTCTGAATTCTCAGTACTACAGCGCCGAATCAAACATGGCTGGAATGAATTTGTTGTTGATAATAAAGAGCCAATATGGAAGAAATATTTTGATCAGGTAAGAGATTCGCATATGGACCAAGCATTTTCCAGGGTTCTTTTTTCATTGGCAGTGAACTTTCCCCTTCCTTTGGGTTTTTCCAGGTTGAACAGTTATTTGTTTGAATTTAAAACCAATAGATCTTGGATGTATATGTGCACCTACTAATAATATAGATCTCTTATTTTAAAAGCCCACTGTGAATTATGGGTGCCACGCACCAGGAAATTTACTTGTTCCACTTATAAATGTGAGATGCTAATCTGATCTGCCCAGATTACTGTTTTACCTGTTCTTTAAGAGCTTCCATGTTAACTTGTTGTCTGCAGAAAGTGCTGTTAACTGGGCTTTGTGAGTTACACTATTATTTCCATGTGACCAAATGGCCCTTCAAAATCAGATCTAGTACTGCAAACCATGGTTACACGATAGGTGTCCACGTTTTGAGCAGAGCAAAATTAATTTTTTTTTCCAATGAAAAATAGTAAAAAAAAAGTAATAAGTAACAGAATGACACAAGTTGCTCTGTGAACCTTGCAAGGAGCAACTTTCGTTTTTCGTCAAAAACTGCAACAAGTGTATTTTTTCCTACACTGTAGTAAACAGCAACTTGCTTTTAAAAATTAACTTTCCCAGCTGTGCTTCTGGATGTGAGCTACAGCAGGTCAACACCCACTTAGAACAGCATGTATCAAAGCAGCATTATTCTTTTTTTTTAGTTTAAGAACCCGCTGATCCTCTTGCTGTTGGCCTCTGCTTTAGTGAGCGTGATTACTAAAGAGTATGAGGACGCCGTCAGTATTGCAGTGGTAAGTTGCTTCTTTCTAAGACAAACATGGCTTTGAGCTCAGAGTCATCACACCAAAGACCATTTCCAACGCTCATGTGAAAAGGGCTTCCATGTCCAACATGTCATGGTTCCTTGTCTGCTTGAACTCAGACAAAATAGAATTAGGGTGAACTGTGGTTTGTCAAAGCTAACCAGCTTTGTAAACTATGGTTTGAAGTTGTTTCCTTTCTAAACAAACCATAGTTTAGATTAACTGCATATTGTTGGGTTCAGATGACACAACAAGCTATGGTTAACAGAAAGCAGAAGAAAAAGTGAGCTCCTCCTATCAGCTTGGTTGAAGGATTAGATGTGAGAGAGGATTCAGCTTGTGTCTGAGGATTGTCTAGGCTCTTTCTTGCCCTGGCAAAACATTTATGGCAGGGATGGGGGGACTTGTAGGGTACCAAATACTATAGAACTTTAGGAGCTCTAGAATGGTCAGGAAAGATGGGGTTGCAATCCCATCCTGGATTTATTGTAGTGTTTGAATGCAGCCACTGTCATGTAATGCAACCGCACATGGACATGTTCTAGCATGTGCAGCTATAAAAAGAAATCTTAACTAGAGAAGGGCATGAACCAAACTATGAACTAAAAAAATGCCCAGTTTGTGTTTTGGATCGTGCATTCCATTTTGCTGAAACAACATGAAGGGCTGAACTTTTTTTTTCCATCCAGCACTTCATGTTGCTTTGGCAAAATGGATGCCCCACCCCTTTCCCACTGCCCCCATCACCTCCTCACCTTCAGAGACAGCTGATAGATGTGCTGGGCAGAGATGCCAGCCCTGTCTCCTGGAAGGGAAGCCGTACTGCTGTTCCTGAAGATGGCAGTGATGGAGTAGCAAGAAGGGGAGGTGGCAGGACCAGCTGGGGAGACGATGGGGAAGAAGGAAGAGGGTGGGGCCTTAGGTCCCCCTCCCTCCCCCTAGACAGAGACCAGAAAAAAAAACTCATTTGTGGCTCTTTATTCCGGGGTTCATGGATAGTTATTCTGGGGTTTATGGGTGGCAAACAAAAAAGCACAAACAACCCATACTTGGCATTTTTCCAGTACATGCCTGTCTCTTTTGTTGTTTAGTTGTTAAGTCGTCTCCGACTCTTCGTAACCCCATGGACCAGAGCACGCCTGGCCCTCATGAAATCCTATGGAGCAGAGCACGCCAGGCCCTCATGATACAGAATGGGTTTATAAATAATAATAACTGCTTAGTGCTCAACAAGATCAACACTGGATTCATTTGTTTTAGTTATCAATTATTCACTTTTCTAAGTCAGTGGTTCCCAGCCTTGGGTCCCCAGGTGTTCTTGGACTAAATCTCCCAGAAGCCTTCACCACTAGCTGTGCTGGCCAGGATTTCTGGGAGTTGCAGTCCAAGAACATCTGGAGACCCAAGGTTGGGAACCTCTGTTCACAAGTCCTCACAACACAGTATACCAAGGGGTGGGGTGGGATGAAAGGTTATGGAGAACATGGAAGCCTAAGAGGGTCATAAGCAAATAGATGTGATTCTGAGTATACAGCAGTAGTGTAAGGATATGTTTTTAAGGCCACTTTCAACACAAGTCCTAGCAAATGTTAAATGGAAGAGAGGTCTGTGTTTCTGGGGCCAACCCCAAAAAGCCTTCGTGCTTTGATGCTCTAATTGATTTTCCCAAGGGAGCATAAAGAGAATACATTAAACAGGGAGATAGAAGGAGGAAGGAAAACACAACTACTGCATTTTGATGGTAACGAGTCAACCATTCAGTGCAAGTCAAAAGTAAATATCCATATTTTCTCAGCTGGCATTTTGTGATGGATTGTATTTACCCATGACCTCCATCTTCTTTCCTCCTTTAGGCTGTCCTCATCGTGGTCACTGTGGCCTTCATTCAGGTAAATCTTTTTCCTTACATAATGGGCTCCGACATCTCGGCTTATTATAATTACTCATCCAGGCAAAGATGAGCTGATAAGATTTCCCCACTCCCTCCCCTTTATTTCAGGAGCACCGTTCTGAAAAATCCCTGGAAGAACTTAACAAGTTAGTCCCACCAGAGTGTAACTGGTAAGATGTGAAAGCGTCTATCCATTTTCTCTTTGGAGTATCTATTTCACTTTCTCCTGACTTCTGCTGCAGGTTTCTGATGAGCATCTGGTTGACCGCAATGAGAAATAAGGTGTTGAGTTGGGTCAACTTTGGCTAAATGTGGAGTTACTGCTTTAGATTACAACAGCATGATCCACTTGTAGTTGATTCTGAGAGCTAAAGTTCAAAAACAGACAGCAGGACCAATGTGGCTTAGCTTCTGAAATCAGAGGAGATTGGTGTGTTTGGGGTGGGTAAGCGGGAGTGTCCAAAACAAAATCCAAAGCAAAATATATGTTTCATGCAGAGCTCTTTCCTAACCCTACATGGAGATACTTGGTTTCCCATGGGGATCGCTCATCTTAAATACTAAACGGCTTCAATCCTCCTTATCTTCCAACATCACATGAGATCGAGTGTGTTTGAAGTGATAGGTAGAAACAATAAAACTGGTGGAGTGGCAGTCCTAGCTACTGTCACTACTAGGTCTTTAGGCTAGAGCTTGAAAGGGATTGGGGCCCAGCAACTGCTGGAGGGCCAAATTTGGCCAGCTCTTCTATAAATAATCACTGTTTCCTCAGGGTAAATTGTCATCTTTACATATAATTAAAAAAAATGTCCTGTATTTGTCCCCTGGTCACATCTGTACATTATTTGATTGACCTGAACACTGTGTGTTTAAGAGTAATCAATTCTTGGGTCAACACATCCATTTCCCTCTAGCCAAACAGGATCAATACGTTGCTCGAACCTTAGCAGTGCAAATAACTCTGTCTGTTTTGTGAGGGCGGCCTATTTGTCTTCCAAGGTCAGAGAACATTTTGATGGTTTTACTTCTCCGTGGTCCTTCTGCATTCAGATAGACCTCGTCCACAGGGAAGGAAATCTATCTGACACAACTGTTTTCATCACAGTAGCCAAACCTAAGTTCTAAAGATTTTCCAACCACTCGGCAAAACTCGAGCTTATCAAATAACTTTGACCAAGCACTGAATGTTGGTCATCTGAGGACAGGAGTATAGTTTTACAAATAGTGGTTCCTCGCTAGATGATGATAATCTGTTCCACTGAAATCGCTGTTTAGCGAAATCATTGTCTAGTGAAAAGCATTTCCCCATTGGAATGCATTGAAACCTGTTTAATGCGTTCCAATGGGGAAGAATCATCGTTGTCTAGAGAAGATCGGCCATAAGAAAGCCACTTTGCGAACGGCCAATCAGCTGTTTAAATCACTGTCTTGTGAAGCTTAGATCCTGAAAACACCTGTTTTGCGAGTGCGGAGGGAGCTGTCAAAATCATTGTCTAGCGAAAATCGGTTTGCGAGGCAGGGACCAAACATTGTCCAGCAAAATTCCCCCATAGGAATCACTGTTTTGCAACAGTGTTTTGGGGGTTGTGGTCTGAAAAAAAAAAGATACAATTTCCCAGTGTCGAAAAATGTGGGATAGAAGGAGGAGCCGAGATGTTCGTACACCAGGATGAAATAGCTTTGCTTCAGACTTTTCTGAGTATCCCACTTTGGTCACTCACCAGTGCTCAGTATGTCTGTTTGCCTTTCTGAAAAAATCCAGCCTGAGGGAGGGAAGACTCCAACATCTTCTCGCTCGAGAACTCGTGCCAGGAGACATTGTGTGCCTTTCCATGGGAGACAGAGTTCCTGCAGATATAAGACTCACAGAGGTAAGGGGTGAATGGTAAACTGGGATCTCTATATTCCATATGCTTGTGTTGTCCCAGAAGTAATGCAGCTTACTCCAAAACGTAATATAGAATCTTGTGTTTCTAGGCCTTATATTCCGAAATCCTGATAGAGGACAGTTTGAGTGTGTCCTAGCGAAATCTATCTTTCTCTTTAATATGCCTATCTGGATACCTAGATCATTTTTGGGAGGCTCTGTTCTGAGATCCCTTGACTTTGGAGATGGGGGGGAAGGGGAGGGGGAATAGCTTTCTTAGTGATGGCTCCCCCAACTTCGGTGGACTCTCCAGGCTAGCTTTTCTTGCGCCCACTTTGATGTCACTTCATTTCCAGGAAAATTCCCTGAGTCTTTTAATTGTGAATGTTCACATTCCTGGCTTTATTTTGCTCGCTTAAGAATTACAAAAAAAAGCTACCTTGCATGTTTATTAATTTTATTACAATATGCAAAAATCAACACGTGAAAACATAGCAAACAGAATGTTGTTGTCATTGACCTAAGGAATGTTTGCTATTGAGGGCTGGGATAGTAATACTGAGACTAAAAGAACAGGGCAAAGACTATTGAGTTCAATGGGTTTACTTAAGAGGTGTCCAAAGGATTGCAGCTGAAATCTCTCTTTATGAGCCTATGGAACCCTCCAGTCCTTAGGGCTAAGGAGACATTTTTCCAGGTATGTCAAACCTGAGTAATGTACTCAGGTGTGATGGAGGCTCATGACAAGGGCAGATGGGCACCCCCTTGACCAGGGAAGGCACCCGCCCTGTTTAAGACTATGGGTTTCCCCCACATGAGTTACAGAATCAGAATTATTTTCAAAACCACTGGGAAAACCAGGTGGGGTGGCCAACTTTCAGCTGTTTAGGGGCAGCACCCGTCCCATGCCATTTTGGGGTAGGGACCTGAGCCCCCCCCATCCACACACCTCCACTGGCAAACATAAAGTGCTCACCTGCACTTCCAGAATTAGGAATATCAGTCCATTTTGAAGAGTCCTGGGGACTATCTGAGGCCTAGGGAAACCTTCCCCCCCCCCAAAAAAAAATGGGACATCAGTTGTGGCTAAAGGAGTTAAGCAGGAGAATGTGCCATCATCTCTACTTTTGTTAGGTTACAGATCTTTTAGTGGACGAGTCCAGTTTTACAGGAGAAGTGGAACCCTGTAGTAAGACTGATGGCATCTTATCAGCACCGGGAGCCATGATGACACTCAGCAATATTGCTTTTATGGGAACTCTTGTGCGATACGGCAAGGGAAAGGTGAGCATCAAGGACTGTCCTTCTGTCATTAATCCATGGAGCATTTTTGTGAACCCTGGAGATGCAGCAGTAGGTATGGCAAAATTCTGTGTAAATCATGGTCTAATTCTATCCGGTGGGAGGTGGGCAGGAGGCTCTCCCACTAAGAGACTTCTTGAAGCTTAAGGAAGCTGGGTCATGACCTCAGGAGGACCACATTTTATCTCAGGTTTCCTACCTCTACTATAAAGTCTAAGCTATTTGTTCCAAATGAGCAGCTCCTCTCAATCTTAAAGACTTTGACTATCTACTTTTCTTGTTTCATGGTTACTGTCTTTGATCGAGTTTTAGCTTGCCTTTGCTGACTTGAGGGCATGACTCCGACCTATTTTGGACTCAGCCCATGCTTTTTGGATTGACCATCTCCCCTGAGCCTAGAAATCTGTAAGATCTGTTAAAAACCTTCACACAGCTCCAGTAGCCTTCCTGCCTTCTTCTCTAAGGGATGGGATCTCCTGAAGATCCTTAAATAAAGATGCATGAACAAAATGAACACTTACACTTGAGATAAATGAGACATTGGTCAGACGTTGCTGAATCTGTGTGTACCTCCCACTATGTGGATGGTGCGGGCATTAAATTTTAAGTCATGGCCTTCTCAGTAAACCATCACTTCTCAAGCATTCTGCCACAAGGCACAGGTGCAAGCCCATGTGAAAAAGGAAGAGGAGAATATGATATCCTTGCAAAAGACAGAGAATATTCATGCTTTCAAAAAAGAAAAGAAAAGCGAATAGGGTTTTTTATGAGCAATCACCAGTGGATGCACTTCTAGGTTTTGGTGCCCTCTAAAATTTGGTGTTCTTGGCCAAAGCCCTAGTTATTCCATTCCACTTAAATCCATGATCTGGTTTCATCTATTGAGAATGGACATTGGCACCTGGACAGGAAAGAGTATCATTTTTCCTCTTCCTATTGAATCTTACAGAAAGAATGTCTTCCTGAACTCTGATCTGTTCTTGTAATTCCTGATTATTCTTTGGGTCTAATTCATTTCTGGAACTTGTCCCTATAGCTTGCCTTATTGTTTGGATTCATGTTTCTACCCTGACTGCTCACTTAGATCCATTGTATTTTCATCAACTGGGGGAAAAGCTTCTGCAAGAGAGTCAATGGACTTTCTCTTTAAATTCAGGGGAAGGAAGTCTGCAAATCTGGAGGACACAAAATGTTAGAGAGGATGATGATCAGGGAAGTGAACACCAAGACCTAGGAGGAAAGACTGAATGAACTGAGCATATTTAGCCTTGAGAAAAGAAGACTGGGGTGGAGATAGGAGGTAAAGTTAAAGGTAAAGGTTTCCCTTGACAATTTGTCCAGTCTTGGCTGACTCTAGGCAGCGGTGCTCATCTCCGTTTCCAACCCATAGAGCTAGCGTTTGTCTGCAGACAATCCTCCGTGGTCACATGGCCAGTGTGACTAGACATGGCATGCCGTTTACCTTCCCACCGAGGTGGTACCTTTTTATCTACTTGCATTTTTGCATTTTGCATGCTTTCAAACCGCTAGGTTGGCGGGAGCTGGGACAAGCGATGGGGGCTCACTCCGTCACGTGGATTCGATCTTACGACTGCAGGTCTTCTGACCTTGCAGCACAGAGGCTTCTGCGGTTTAACCTGCAGCGCCGCCACGTCCCTCTAGAAAAAGTAAAAGAAGACTGGGGCAGAGATAGGAGAGCACTTTTCAAATAGTTGAAAGGCTGCCATATACAGGAGGGACAGGATCTGTTCTTTATCATCCTGGGGTGCAGGACATGGAATAATGGGCTCAAGCTACAGGAAGCCAGATTTAGGCTGAATATCAGGAAAAAAACCTCTTAACTGTTAGAGCAGCACAACAAAGAAACCAATGGCCTTGGGAGGTGGGGAGTGCTCCAGTTCTGGAGGCATTCAAAAGAAAATTGAGCAACCCTCTGTCAGATCTGATTTGACTTGGATTCCTGCATTGAGTAGGGGGTTGGACTGGATAATCTTATAGGCCCCTTCCAACTCAATTATTCTTTGATTCTATGAAAGATGGCAATTGTGCCTACATGTGTTCTTCTATTTTTTTTTCTTGTACAGGGCATTGCCATTGGAACAGGAGAAAACTCACAGTTCGGGGAAGTGTTCAAAATGATGCAGGAGGAAGAGGTGAGAAAGGATGCAGAGAAAACAGAGAGAGATGTCTACTTTCCTACCTCCCATGCCAAAATTTTGGAAGTTCGTTTCAGAACATCACCTTAATTTGTTTCATTATTTTATTTACATGCCAACTTCCTCCCAGAATTAGGATCCAAGGTGACTTACAGCATAGTTTAAAAATGAAAGCAAATTAGTTCTGTGTCTTGATTTGCCGCTACCTTCATGACCAGCAGCTCCATATTCAGCTGTGTTCTGAAACAAATGACAAAATAAAGAAAAGACTATGAAAGGGGACACATATTGATATGGAAGCTTGCCTTTCTGTGGTGGCAGCACAGCCATTTTGAGAAGCTGACTTTGATGGCCACCATTTTGTTCTCCCAGAAAGGCTTAATTATTTTGTTATTCCCAACCATTCTGAGAGAGGAATATGTCAGCTCCCCATCACTCTCACACATCCCTAGTATTGTTTTAAATCTACCATGGAATCTGAAGGATAATGGTCAGTGGGTATGTCAACATGTGGCTCCACATCTGCTTCATGTGTTCATTGGACACAGGCTGTGTATGAACCACTAGCCAAAGATCCATTAAAAAAATAAGATTTTATCAATGATACCAAGCTTTTTCTCTCTCCTTCCCTTCCTTGTCATGTTCTTTCCCTTTTTATCCCCTGGACTAATACATCAAGACACCCAAAACACCCTTGCAGAAAAGCATGGATAAATTGGGGAAACAGCTTACTCTCATTTCTTTCGGCATTATTGGTGAGTTTAACATTTCCTAATACGTTACCTCTTTGAGCTTAGGTTCCCGTCAGCCAGTGGCAAATGCATTTTCTAGAAAGACCATGGTCGTAAATTTACACTTTGAAGGCTCAGTTTCAGTCTTCCAGTGGTCCTGAAGGTACAGAATGGAGTCTGAGGATGCTATTCCCGGTCCCCTGCTCTACAAGATTCCTATCCACCTATAAAGTTTAAACTCAAAGCTGAGATTATGGAAGACAGTAGACGTGAGTCTACTCTTTCACCAGATCATGGCTTGTTGTGGTGTAATTAAGATGGCCTCTGTGTTTTTTTTCAAGGTTTGCTCATGCTGATCGGTTGGCTGCAAGGAAAACACCTCCTTGGGATGTTCACCATCGGAGTGAGGTGAGCAGGACAAAAGCTGCTATATCAGAAAGCAAAATATTCTGCTCCAGATACAGTTTTGAATCTCTTTAGCATTTCTCAGTGTATGGCTAGACTGTAGAATTTGCTATTATGTGATGCAAAGCTACTTAGGGAGAGTTAAGTGGGGATTAGATCGCTTCAGGAGAATAAATCTACCAGTGGATATTAGTTATGGTGGCTATGTGTTACCTGCAGGATCGGAAGAAATTTGCCTTTGAATACCAGTTGCTACAGAATGAAAGGTGCTATTGAACTCTTCTGCTTATGGATTTTCCAAAAGCAGTTGACTATTGTATTCAAAGAATACTGAAATTGATGGGCTTTGGGGTTGGTCTCACTGGGATCCTCTCATGCTTCTGGTTTTTTTTTGCAAAAGTCAATACGTGCATAAAAGTGGGAGAAAGATCTTTATCTGAAATCCTTGAGAATCGTTGTCTCATCAGCTGCGTATGAGACTTCAGCCCCACCCAATAGCTTCCCAGTCTTTAAACAACCTCTGATCTCTAGCCACTGATGGTCAAGAGCAGCAGAATGCAGCTTGTGAGCAAATAGGGACACCCCCCACCCCCAACTGGGTTTGTCCGCAGCAAGGATCAGAGAGGTTCCTCATTGTTGGCATGGACAATACTCAAGTAGATGAACCAACCATCTGATCCAGTATAAGGAAGTATAAAGCTTCCTTTTTACGTCTGTTGTAAATATTATGTTACTGGGGTAGACATAACTTAATCTCTGTGTATGCATATGTTCAGCTGGTTTTGCTACATACCTTGTTTAAATAGCTTTCTGTATGCACAGACTCCAGTTCTCAGAGCACTTTCTTTGATGCAGACACTCCTTGGTACATTGAATGCTTGGCATAACTGGCCAGAAAGTCTGGACAAAGCCTGATTTGAAGGATTAGTAGATTAAGCAGGGGGCCAGCGCTCAGGAGACATGAGTCTAAGTCGAGTGTTGCCCATGGAAACTCATTGAAGTGTGGCTCAATTGAAATGACTCCTTAAATATCTCCCTTGAAACCTCTGTTAGGGTCACTCTACGTTGGAGCAGGTTCTATGAGGAAAGGCTGAAAGAACTGAGCCTGCTTAGCCTTGAGAAAAGAAGACAGAGGGGTGATATGAGAACACTTTTCAAATACTTGAAAGGCGGTCATAGAGAGGAGGGGCAGGATCTGTTCCCAATCATACCAGAGTGCAGGACATGCAACAATGGGCTCAAGTTAGAGGAAGCCAGATTTCGGTTGAATATCAGGAAAAACTTCCTGTTAGAGCAGTACAACAATGGAACCGATGACCTCGGGAGGTGGTGAGTGCTCCAAGACTGGAGGCATTCAAGAGGAACTTAAGACAATAAGTTCCTGCATTTTTTTTACACTTCCAACACAAATTTGGTGTTTCAGCTGTATGTTTTGTAGTATGTTAAAAAAAAGAGGAACTTAACCACCTGACAGATATCTTTTGATTGTATTCCTGCATTGAGCAGGGGGTTGGACTTGATGGCCTTATAAGTCCCTCCCAACTTCACTATTCTATGATGACTTATTGGCATGTGATAACAGCAGCAGCCTCAGGACTTGCCAGAGTTTACTGATGTTATTTAGTCTATCATTGTTGTTTTGCATCATCCATGAAGGAGATCTGGGTATCCTGAGGAAGTGGATTTCATCCACAAAAGCTTGCTACTCACTTAATGTTCTAGAGCAGTGGTTCCCAATTTGGGGCCCACAAATTTTCTTGGACTAAAATTCCCATAAGCCATCACCAATGGCTGTGCAGGGCAGGATTTCTGGGAGTTGTAGTCCAAGAACATCTGGGGACCCAAGGTTGGGAATCACTGTTCTAGCGTTCCAACAAAAGGTATCACCCACTCTTGCATTTGTGCCATTTTTGTAGGAATCCAGCAAACCTGATTTAGATGCAATTTTATAAGCCAGTTATAAGCTTTTTTCTGTGTATGAATGAGAGTGAATAGAATTCCTATACATGTATGAGTCTCTGTGTACAAAAACACATACACAATTTTTTTGCATGCAAAAGACCACAGATTCAAGACCTCCAGTTCCCTTTGACAGCCCGTCAAACAGGATATCAAGATCCAGTTGCAGAAGACTCCACCGGAGAGTTTTAAAAGCAGCCGATGCGTGCTGATATGACCCCATGACGCAGGGTGTCCACACCCTTTCCCTCTGTTACGCCAGCTATGAAACTTTTGTTGATCACTGTTCAAATATTTGCTCTGGGGGCCATCCTATCTCCTCCAGTTTAAAAAAAAACTATGTGGTGTGCATTTTTATAGTTTATGCAGAAGATATAAAATACACCATCTGCTTAGCTGGAGCCTCAAAAAGGAATCCAACAGCATCAGATGATCATGCTGTTTGAATGCTGATAGGGACAGAATGAAAGATTAGAGCAGACAAATTGCAAAAGATGAGTTGCAGAAGTATTACGGGGGAAGTGGATGCCTGCATGTACTTCATTGCAGGAATTCGTAACAATAGTGAGGAAGAGCCCAGTTTTCAGATCTTCATCCCAGGCTGGCCCGCTTTCTGTTTTCCTTCTGTCCCTTGCATTCAGGTGAGCTTTTGACAGCTGTGTGGCTGCTAAGAAAGGAACTTTTAATGGATTTGGGTCATGCTGCACTTTATACTGTTGTGATATTATAAGGTAAAGGTTCCCCTTGACATTTAGTCCAGTCGTGTCCACCTCTAGGGTGTGGTGCACATCCCTGTCTCCAAGCCGTAGAGCTAGTGTTTGTCCGTAGACAGTTTCCATGGTCACGTGGCCAGCGTGACTAGACACAGAACGTCGTTACCTTCCCACCCTGGTAGTACCTATTTATCTACTCACCTTTTTACATGCTTTCCAACTGCTAGGTTGGCAGGAGCTGGGACAAGCGATGGGAGGTCACTCCGTCACGTGGATTTGATCTTGCGACGGCTGGTCTTCTGACCTTGCAGCACAGAGGCATCTCTGGTTTAACCCACAGTGCCACCACATCCCTGCTGTGATATTATACATATTTGTAATTCAGCTGTATTTTAATATTGTATGGCAGGGGTAATTCCCATATATTTATGGATAAAATAAATAGAGCTATTGACTTGGGATGAACTCTGAGTTGCCCATCAAATCAGCCAGAATCAGACGGATTGGCATGAGGGCCAGCTCAAAGACGAGTGGTCAAACTCAGTGCCATGGTGGTGTGAAGCAAATTTTCAAGCAGATTTGGGTCTAGAGCACAAACCAAATAAAATGTGGTACAAATTTCATGATCTTGTTCCCTTTTTTTAAAAGCAAATGCTGAAGGTGCGTAGCTTTTGCAGATTTATATCCCTCTTTGCAGTATTATCTTATGGCCAAATGTCATGCACGTTGGTGCCAAAACAAAAAAGTTAAAGCCATTTCGGCTTCCCAGCACAAGTCAATAAGAAGCTTACAAATCAACTTGAATCCAGGGCACAGATCAAATTAGATGAGGTACGAATCACTCTGGAATGAATCAGCATACCTTCCAAGCTCCAAACCGACCTATATAATATATGGAGACACAGTTAATAGAATAACTTGATATTTTACTCTCGGTAGTATAATGTATTTGCAAACTGCTATCTCCTAACTCTGCTTATGTTTTGAGAATACATGTATAACCAAAATTCTCAACACTATAAACTAACCAACCAAATAAAACACTCCTCTCTGTGTAGCTTAGCTGTAGCTGCCATTCCAGAAGGCCTCCCCATTGTTGTTACGGTGACTCTAGTCCTCGGTGTCTTGAGAATGGCCAAGAAGCGAGTCATCGTGAAGAAGCTGCCAATAGTAGAAACTCTGGGTAAGCAAAAAAACAGGGATAGGTAATGGACTCTTTGTTTTGGGGTTGATAGCATGGCCATCATTTGCAATCATCCGTCTCATAGGATCCCACATCTATCACTGGAGGCTACAATTCTGCACACATCGGTCAAGAAATGGCTGCTTGCCTCAGGACTCATGCAAATAAAGATAGCTTGATGAACATGCCATAGAGATTGTACCTATACCTGGAATTATTTTTAGGTTTCATCTTAGCTTATTAGTTTTTATTACAAATATATCCTGGCTAGCTGGGGATAATGGAGGTTGCAGTCTGACACATCTGGAGAAAACCAGGCAAGAGAAGGCTTGTGTGCATATGCTTTGGCTAACTGAAAGGCAGAAAGAGGTGGAAACTTTTGCCTTTGTAGACTGTAACTCTTAGGATTCCTTAGCTACCATGGACCATGTTTGAGTGACTCTGGTTGTTGGAAGCAAGAACAAGAGGGATGGTGGTGTTCAATATTGTTTGTGGGCTTTCTAGGGCATCTGGTTGACCAAAATAGAGGTATTAGGCTGGACATACACTTGCTAGCAATCTTAGGTCCTTACCTCTTATCCTGAACTCAATCACATCCTTTCCTCTTCTCAGGTTGTTGCAATGTTATCTGTTCTGACAAAACCGGGACGCTGACTGCCAACGAGATGACTGTCACTCACCTTGTAACTTCAGATGGTTTCAAGGCGGAGGTACAGATAAGAGTTTAGACTCGGTACAAAGCTATTGATGGTGGCACAAAATCCACTGGGTTTGGTCAACCTGCTCCTACACCCTAAAAAGCCTGTTCTGGTTTCTTATTTTTCTTTTCTTTTTATATTCTTTATTCCATATATGGGCCGTAAGTTTAAAAAGTCTACATGGTTGGGTTGTTTTTTTCTTTACTTCCATTAGACTACAATTTCACTTTCCTAATTAATTTGCTAAGCCCTGCTTTGCCTAGAAAGTGAGAAGAAAAGTCATCTTATCAAAGCTCTAACTAGTTTAACCAGGTCCCTATGGAACATAATCATCAGAACCTTAGAAACATACTGTTCAGGAATTCAGTTCATCCCCTTTAAAACCATTGAACCTGGTGGCCACCATAATCACATCTTGATATGAACCAGATTGAAGTCTTTGATTATAGCATTCATTATGTGAATAAATCAGTCCTTTTCACCTGTCCTCAATCTCTCCTCATTCAGTTGAATGGGATAACCCCAGATTCTAGCACTCGGGAAGTGGGAGAAAATTTATCCCTCTCCACTTTCTTCATCCCATTCTTAGTGTTATAGACCTCAGCTGGACCTACAGGGTGTTGTTTCATGGCTATTTCTCCTGGAATTTTATTCTTCTAGGTGAGTGGAGTTGGATACAACGGAGAAGGAAATGTGTGTCTCTTACCATCTAGAGACATCCTTAGAGGATTTGCCAACATCTCTGTGGGAAAACTAGTGGAGGTAATTCTCCTGGTTTCGTTATTATTGAAAGAGTTATGAAAATCTATTGTAAGAAATTCAATAAATGAAGGTCAATGAGTTATAAATGTATTATTTTGTCACCAAAGAATAAAGAAGACAAGAGTGAAAGATTGGATTTTTCTAAGACTGTTCTCAAACTCAGCATCCTTTTTGCAAACAAAAGGAATGGAGTAAACAATCTTATACTGATTCAGACCCTCAGTCCATCTCACCCAGTATTGTCAACACTGACTGGCAGTCACTGTCCATGGTTTCAGGCAGAATTCCTTCCCAGCCCTATCTGAAGATATAGTTGTTGCACTGAATTATAGCTTCATCCCAGTAAAGCATCTGATATTCCCCGGAGGTATCCCATCCAAGTATTGACCAGATCCAACCCTGCTCAGCTTCCAAATTCAGTGGAGATTGTAGTAATCTCAAAACATATTCTGTAGGTTTTCAGCATTATGAAGGAATCTAGCTGGGGATGTTTGGCACTCATTGGCTAGTACCTGTGCCATTACCAGCTTGACAGAAATTCAGTTTCTAAATATGTTTGACCCAAAGACTTAGGAAGGGAGGGCAGGGATACAGGCCAATTCACACTGTAACTTCTACATTATATCTATAATGCCAAGTATCACAACCACACAATGATAATTGTAATGCTGAGTATCACAACCACAGAGACTTTTATTCAGTTTCTGGTATCTGTAGCAATGTTAAGAGCTTGTCACTAAAATATGTATATTGATTAAGAGCTTTCAACTGAAATACACATATTTGACCCAGTTCCTTCTCATGTGGCTCCATCTACCACCAGACCATGGTCTCCCAAACTTTCTATGAAACTGACTTTGGCTGTTGGGGTAAAAGAGGTTTTTTTCCCCCCTCTTTGGCTTAACAGTACTGAAGTCATTCATATCTCTCACTTCCGCTTCAGATCAAATGTATCAATGAAACTCTTTCAGGCCGGCTGTGTTGCCAACAACGCGGTCATCCGGAAGACGACGGTGATGGGACAGCCGACAGAAGGCGCCCTGGTAGCCCTGGCAATGAAGGTGAGTGTACTTATTCCATGTGCCAAGGTTCTGCATTAATTGAGTTCTGTTTGATGTGTGTGGAGGGGGAAAAAACACAATAGCTCCAGTTACATGGTTGCCACGAATGAGAGAGAATTTGGAGTTCAACTGGTCTGGTAATTAAACTAAGAATTAGACAGGCATCATGGTTACTTCTGTATTATAAGCTCAAGAGATCAAGTTGACCTGGAGATGTTGGCAGTGTTCCCAAGAACAACAAATTCAGACTTGCCCACAGGCATAACGTAGACGTGTTTGGTGGAGTTCTAAGGTTATTATTGTTGTTGCTGGTGGCTTTTCCCTCAGATTGTGTCATCTCATAAAAGTCTTTTTAAAAAATCTCCTTTCAGAGGTCCTGAATTTAGCAAAGGATATATTTATAGTTGCTGGGAGAAGAATTTCTTTGTTAAGCAGATGAATGGGTAATAGCTTGGGACTGTGCAGCTTGCTCCAGGCCACAGAAGTTGGCTTTCTCCCAAGGAAGCACAGCGGGGAATCGAACTCCCAACCTGAATGACTGAGCGATCCAGGCAGTTAAGCCTTAGAGGGAACTTTCAGGAGTTTTAACAGCCTAGGTTCCCTCTCCAAGGGATCTTATGGAAGCTATCAGTCTGCTGTCTTCCAAGAATAACAGCTGTGTACCTTCACTTAAGTTCTACAAGTTCACTTGCAATAAGCGATCAAAGATCTTTTAAGACTACAATGGTTTCATTTCCTAATAGAGATTAAACCCAATGAGTTTGTTCCTTGAGAAATGTGTCTTTAAATATGTTTAAATAACCTGAAATGCTATCCAGAAAGCTAAATTTCAGAAGCAAGATGAGAACCTCCAATACAAGAAGTGTTGAAATTCAGCATTTGACGTTCTGTGCCAGAGAGAGTTTTTGTGGCATTCTGTCCTGGCTCTATTACTGATATCATGCAAATAATTCATAAAGACTAATGACTTATCTTCCCCACCCCTTTATTTGTTTTAGATGGGACTGAGTGATATAAAAGACCTTTATGTCAGAAAGAAAGAGATTCCATTTAGCTCCGAGCAGAAATGGATGGCAGTCAAATGTACCCTGAAGAATCAGGTAAAAAAAAACAAACGGGGATCTGCTGGCAGGGTTGCTCCGTGCTGTCAAGTCAATTCTACAATTAGAGGTACCCTTATAAGTGTTACAGAGTTTTGAATTTCTGGCAGAATTCCTTTTGTTAAACAAGAGAAGTACAGAGACTCACAGAAGAAAATAGCTTCAAGTTCCCCAGATAGTCTACACATTTCTCATTAACTGGCACTGACAGTGTCACTCCGAGACATTTGTAGAAGAAAACATTTCATTACTTACAGTTGGGATCAGATCAACAGCAAACAAACAAACTCTGCCTCCAACAGACTAAAGAGAGAGGAAAGACTCTCAGCAGAGAGGCAGGGCTCTCTTTGAATTCTCAAGTAGGAAGGAAGGACCGGTTAGTGCTGGAAAGATTGCCGGTCACCCCAGCAAGATTATTCCCAGCCAAAAACAAACAAAAAACCACTACAGGCAGCATGCAAGGTTATAAAACTCCAACCATAAGCATCACAGTCCAAGATAACCCAGGGTATTGAGTCCAAAGATACTCACTGCACAGCTGGCTGAGACCAAGCAGAGGCAGGAACACCGGGCTATGAGCCAGGTCACAGGACTATGGATGCAGAACAAGGCACCAAGATGCAGAAGACCTGCAGAAGCAAACAGGGACCAAGGCAGGAACAGGGGCAGGAACATTGGAGTCTCAGGAGCAGCATGTCAGAGACAAGAGCAGAGGCCAAAACAGGAACACTGGGATTCAGGAGCTCAGGAGCAGCAAGGCACAAGACAGCCAAAGAACTTTGTTGTAGAGGAAAGTTCTGGGAGGGAGAACCACTCCTTAAATAGGCCTTTCCTCCAGGTTTCCAGGTGAGCCTCATGAGTGGCTCAGCAGCTGCTACACAGGTCAGGGCCTGAGCCTGCAAGCACTAGGCCATTCCTTGGTCAGGCTGGCCCCAATCCTGTGCATGCCAGGCCAGTGTGGGCCAGATCCTGACAATAAGGTTATGAAATGGTCATTCTTCTGACAAAAAGGTACTCAGCGGTTCCTAGCCCTGCCTCTTCTGGCAGCTGCCAACTCAGAAGCAGCACACAGAGGAGGCGGGGCAGGAAAGCCAAGTCATTGTGTCTCAGTGGGCGGCTGCCAGGGGAGGCAGGGCTGGGAACCACTGAACACCCATTCATCCAAAGAATGAAGCAGCATGAACCACCAAACCGGCAGTTTATGCCCATCTCTGGGAATAAGATCTGACTAAAATTATTTTCCCTTCCCTTCTTATTTCTTCTCCCACAAACTTAATGGAGTTGCTTTGTCCATAACATTGAGAATAATGGGTCCTTCATCATTGGCTGAAAGGACATATGAATGTGCTCTAACCACTACACAAGTGTCTATCTGGGATTAAAAATAATCCAGTTCCACACACAAATCAGGGGTTGGCATTTTGTGGGAGTCCAGAATTCTAATCACATTTCCCTCCATTCTTCCCCTTTTTTGACAAAGCAAAATGTGAAGGGGGAAAACTTAACCATCTTTAAACAAGGGTCAAATTCTACAGATGTTTCCAGGAAGGTAGCTCTCTATTGCAAAATTTCCTAATACATATTTTTGGATATGTTACATTATTTAATACAGTAGGACCAACCTATTCACAGGATCAGGATTCGTTGATTCTCGTATCCGCTAGTTGAAAATATTAATTAAAAAAAAGAAAAGAAACACCTACGGTATTTATACATATTTCCAGGATGCATTTACCAGAACTGGCGACTAGAGGGGAGCAAGAGACCATGCAATGGCTAACGTTTAATATTTCTATTTTTTCAGTATCTGGAGGCAGAACTGATCCCCCACAGATACTGCGTTCCTACTGTAGTTTAAAATCTACTCTGTGTTACATTTTTTTTTCCTGCAGCAACGACATTCTCCTCCTTGTTTTCTAGGATCAGGAAGATATCTATTTTATGAAGGGGGCCTTTGAGGAAGTGATGCAACATTGTACCTCATTTAATAGCGGCGGCATTGCGCTCCCACTGACGCCACAACAGAAGGCAGTCTATGTTCAAGAGGAGAAAAGCATGGGATCGCTCGGATTAAGGGGTCAGTCCACGGCGGTGCCTCGTTATGGCCTTGGTTGAGTGCCATGCAGCTCAGTCAGTTGGCCATCAGAGCAGGAAAGCTTCCAATGTCTCACTTTGCGTGGCCGGCCCTATAATGAGGCAAAGGGAAGCAGTGGCCACAGGTAGTAGCTGGTGCGGATTGGGCACAGGGAAAGAGAGTGAAGTATGTGATGTGGACTATCAGCTGCTCCGCTCAAGTGCAATGGAGGCAGCTGCTCCATTGCTTGTGTTAAAGCCATATTGACCTGCTCATAGAGTTTGCTTCTGCAAACCTATGGAAACAGGCGCCACCTTTCCTTCATCTCGGTCAACAGAATGTTAGAGAACAGTCCTGTTGCCTTGTCCTGCCTTATCTGCATCCTTAACCCATATTAACCAGACTTGGATGACCTTATGGAACCTATATAACTGCCTTCTGCTCAGCTCTGTAGAAAAGACATTGAGTACGGCAATAGAAAAGGCTCTGTTCCATGTTCTCACCGACATGGTGCAGCAGGGCCTCTGATGGGTATCATAAGTTATTGGCGGGCTCGTATAGGATGAGAGTGGGTAGCTTTTAGAGGTTTGGAGCCACAAATACCCCATCTATGGACTTTGGAGGGCTGCATTAGCTACAACAACCCCCCCATAACCCAAATATTATTTTTAAAAGTAGTTTTTTTTAAAATAACTGAACTTGTGCCCTCTGGAGGCCAAACCTTTTACAAAAATATATATTTATTTGGGGCAGATTGCATAGATGATGGAGGACATCAAAACATGGCAAGATTGCAGAACACGATGTAGTCGTCTAAACTGGAAAATAACTTGGCTGGTTGTCATTTTCTGTTTTTCTCTGCCTTCCTAGTGCTCGCACTGGCTTTTGGACCTGAACTTGGGAGGCTCACATTTTTAGGTCTAGTTGGAATCATTGACCCTCCAAGGCATGGAGTGAAGGAAGCTGTTCAAGTCCTCATTGAATCAGGGGTATCGGTGAAAATGATAACTGGAGATGCATTGGAAACAGCTTTGGCCGTTGGTGAGCAAAATACAAGACATCCATAATCTTCTCTTCAGAGTGGCAGAACCCACTAGAATTGATTGTATGGAACATCATGCCATTTTTACGATGTCTTTCACTTTGTTATAATACTCATTTTAACGATAGTTAATGTTTTACATTTGTATACCACTTTTCCTCCAAGTGAGTTCAAAATGGCATAGGAAGGCTTTTGCCCTCTGTACTTCATCTTTACAACAGCCATCCAGAGAATGTGACAGTCCCAAGGTCAACCAGTGAGTTTCAGGACCAACTGGGAATTTGAACAAAGGTCTCCTGAACATTTGTGCAACACTCAAAACCATTACACACTGTGTGTTTTGTATCTCAGATACAGTATATGCTCTTGGCTAGATTTCTTGCACTGCATTTCTGATTTTGGGGAACCACAAGATTTTGAAGCAGGGCTTCCCTGCCACTTCTTGCCTACCTTTCTCTAATTAAACAAGACGTCGTCAAGCTATAAAACGAAGATCAGAGGCAGCCTTGTTGGCTATCAGAAAAGCTTCCAGAATCCATACTGCAGCCACAATACTTTGATTAGACTAACCAAAAAGCCACACCAATATGTTTAAGCTCCCTGGAGCTTTGGATTCTCCCATCCAATAAAATATTACAAAAATCAAGTGGGCTAGGAAAAGGGCAGGGGAGACAAAGTCTAAATCAGTAGCTCTCAACCTTGAATCCCCTGATATTCTTGGACTAAAACTCCCAGTCTTCACCACTAGCTGTGCTGGCCAGGGTTTCTGGGAGTTGTAGTCCAAGAACATCTGGGAATTCAAGGTTGAGAGCCACTGGTCTAGATGAAAATGGTGGTCTCAGCTAAAGTAGAACTACAGTCAATGAGAAATGGGCAAATTAATACCCGTTTAATTTTTATTAATCCAGTCAGTGTACCTACATGGGACTAACAATGTGGTTCAGTCTCCAGTCCATAAATCGTGTTGACTTTATGTTGTTCAAGCAGGATATAGCTACAAGCCAATCATCCCTCTCCACTGCTCATCCAATCCACAAATATCAAATCATTCTTCTCAGAAGAGTCCAACCCTGGGCCCCACCTTCTGCACAGATGGCCCTTTAGATTTGTAGAAGACAGCCATGGTGCCTTCTCTTAGAATGTGATCAGACAGAGAAATGACTCACTGGTTATATCATTTGTTGTACAGCCTGCTGTAATCTCTTTCCTGGCAATCACATACCATAAGGTCAATAGCACTCCACCCTGACCCAGATCTGTGCCAGATCTGGACCTTTTTGATGCAGCTGTAGGACGTCTATTTGGGGGTTGGTCTGGAACAATTCCCCAGCAGACAGAAGGATTGCTTTTAAGGGAGATTGTTCCTAGCAAAGTCACCCTTTCTGGTGCAATCGGATACGATCCTTCCTCGATTACATCCCTTAATCTCCTTTTCTCTAGGTAAAACACATCCACTAGAGATGGGCACGAACTGGCAATCTGTCCTTTGGACTAACAGGTGTTTGGCAGTTCCCAGATCTGCCTCCTCCGGTGGGTGCCAACTCAGAGGCAGTGCCAGGAGGCAGTGGGGCAAGGAAGCTAGGGTACTGCCTTTGAGTGGATGACCACCAGAGGAAGTGGGGCTGGGACACCTTTTTATCTGAAGGACAAGCCAGCACGAACCGAGGAACCAGCTTTTCGTGCCCATCTCTAATATCCACTTATTTCAAACCATTCCTCATAGGACATAGTTCAATAGCAATTCTTTTTGCGGAGTCAACAGAAGGTCTTTGTCATCTGTCATATGTGCCAAGGTTGAGATAACCAGCCATAACATAGAAGCATTGTAGTGTGTTGGTTACAGCAGTGGTTCTTAACCTTTGTTACTCGGATGCTTTTGAACTGCAACTCCCAGAAACCTCAGTCAGGACAGCTGATGGTGAAGGCTTCTGGGAGTTGCAGTCCAAAACTCCTGAGTAACCCAAGGTTAAGAACCAGTGGGTTAGAGTATGGGATGGGCTTTGGTAAGTCTAGGTTCTCACCCCTACAGAGCCATGAAAACTCAGTGGTTGATCTTGACCTATTCTGATCTGGGTGGTTGTTGTAAGAATTAAATGGAGAGGAGGACAGCCATGAGCATTACCTTGGGTTTGTTGGAGGAAAGGTGGGATATAGGTAACAAACAATCAAACATACAATTGTGCTTTGTTTTGTTCTCTTTTTTTCAGGACAAAATATCGGTCTTTGCAACAGGAAAATGAAAACTATGTCTGGGGAGGAACTGGAGAACATCACTGAGTCAGCGCTGTCCTCAACGGTCCAAAATGTAATGGCGCTGGAAAGGGTTGTGAACGCATGGTGTGTGGCTCTTCTTTAAAAACAGCAGGCGCCTCACATAGATGTGTTTTTTCTCCTCATCATCCAGGTTTCCATCTTCTTCCGAACAAGTCCAAAACACAAACTTAAAATCATAAAGGTATCTGTACTGACCCCCCAAGTGGTGACGCCCTCCTGTCTTTTTCTGGAGTAACTAGACTCGGTTCTTCTCCATGGCGGCTGCTCCTCCGCTTTTGATTTGCTCACTTCCTGCAAATTGTCCTTCCATTAGGATTGCTTTTTTTTCTTCTGTGGATCCTCCTGTCTTGCAACTTTTTCTTGGAATAATCCTCTGCTAGTTCTTTAGTTTGCAATTAAGGGAACTGAAAATTTCTGTGCCTAGCAGTTTTCAATGAAAGAATATAAGAAATGGCGGTCGCAAATCATAGAGCATCTGTATCCCCGATTCCCTTGTGATGTTCAAAATGACATCTTCTTCCAGGAGCCACACTAGAGCGAACATCACACAGCCACCAGAAACGCCTAGTTCCTTGTTCTTTTTCCCTGGACTGACAACTACTGATAACGTGGTAGCAGGGATACACTGAAATTATCTGTAATTCTCCCCTTTAATTATCTTCCCTGCTTTCTTTTCCTTTAAATGGGTCACAAATAAGGTTGATTTTGGTGGGCCCCATTTTTCTTGATTGAAATTTGCTCAATCAGTTAACAAATTTAGCAGGCTTCCACTCGCTATAGTCTTTGACATTCAGGTGATTTGCTAATCTGTCACTCTGCCCTTGCCTTGCAATGATTGCGGAAGTGTTCTAGATTTTCTTTGTTTGCTTTGAGATGACTGCAGGCAACAGCTCTGACCGACTGCCTAGGAGAGCTGCAGGAACACTAAATAAATTGTTCTGATTGGCTCACCTATTATTAGAGCAGCAACATTTTTTAAAAAGTGTGTGTCCTGATTGGTTGTCCTAGCACTATCAAAAGAACAGAAATAAATGCATGTGCCCTAATTGGCTAGCCCAAGATCATTGCACCCACACAAAAATGCGAGTGCCTTAATTGGTTGCCCCAACATTATTGTGGTAACATATGGGTGTTTTGATTGGCTAGCCCTGGGCTTTTACACCAGTATGAGCATATGTGTCACCTGTGTTACAATGAGTTTTAGCTTGCTGATTGCCTTTATTGAAAATGCGTCCTCAACACTGACTACAAGAACAAAATAATATCTAATTGAGGCTCTGTTTCTTAACCAACTGCAGCTGCAGTATGGTTTCAGTTAAAATAGCTAATATTCCCAACTTTTAAAACCTCAAGCTTTCAGTTATTAGGATCTCAAAATTGCTTTCCTAATTATAATGCATCCTGTTTGTAAAGTTAAAGCCTATATGCTGGGCTTTTCTTCTTGTGAAGTACATCTACCCATTTTTCACACACCTCCAGAAGCCAAGTTATTACCTGCTTGATCTCCTTCAGCACTGATGTTTGCCTTCATCTGTCACTTTTTAAGGCCTTGCAGCAGGCAGGCGCCATCGTGGGGATGACTGGAGATGGAGTGAACGACGCAGTCGCTCTAAAATCTGCTGATATTGGCGTTGCAATGGGACGGGCAGGCACGGATGTCAGCAAAGAGGCAGCAAGCATGATTCTTGTGGATGACGACTTCTCAACAATCATGTAGGTGGCACTTTGGTGGAATTTCATATGCCAACTACTTCCAACAGACAAAAGAGAGGGAAAGAGACACAGAGAAAAGAGGCGGGCTCTCTCTGATGGCAAAGGCTGGAAGGAACAATTGGTTCACGCCGGATAGATTGACAGCCCAGAAAGGTCCCTCCCAGCCACATATTTTCTAAACAGCATGCGAGGTTGCAAATGAAACTCCAAGAGTAATAATATACAGGACTGTTGCGGAAAGCTGTACAGCTCACCTGAAAGGTTTCTGAAACTGGCATCTCCAACGACACCCCTTAGCACCTTACTCATGCTGTGGGATGCTGAATCCCCAGTAATTGTGGAAGCAAGATAAAGATAGAAGAACCTGAACAAGTCGTGGTTATGTTTGTGCAGACAATCTTGTAAGTCAAGTGTGAAATGTGAGTCACTTTGGACCACAGATCCCAAAATCCTTCAGCCCCTCCCCCAAGTAGCCCCTAGTTCTGGTTCAAAGTGTCCCAAAGGAAAGGGTACTTGGTTAGTACCCTTGAAGATGTCCATCCTATTTGTGAGCAGAGAAACTGAGGGAGAGGAGGGTGCAGTGTCACTGAATGTTCCCAGGGAGGCAGAAGAATTCTCCAATATTCTCCAGTGAGTCTTATCTTGAACAGCTGACTGCATAGCTCAGAGGTTTAGGTCTCTGGGAGCTGTCTGCATAGCCCAGTGGATTAGGTCTCTGGCTGTAGACCCAAAGGTTGGGACTTCAGTTCCCACTGGGCCTCCTGCAAGTAGAGCCAGCCTGTGTAGCCTTGGGCCAGCTGAACAATCCCAGATGAAGGGGGCAAACCACTTCTGAGTATTCTCTACCTGGGAAACCCTGAAAAAGGTCACCATAAGAACTGACTTGACGGCGTGCAGTTATTATCATGACTTACTTTTAACAGTGGCAGGAAGGGAAAGTCCTTTCTCATTTTTGCCTTTTTGTTAATTTTAGCAGCCTGGCTGTTTTGTCAACAGAGGAACTAGGAACCCCTTCTTCCACGAATCCAGAGCTTTGCAGGACCTGGCATCGATGTTTATGTACTGCTTTGAAAAATGTGTTGTTATTTTTTTCTTTCCCAACAGGAATGCAATTGAGGAGGGAAAAGGAATCTTTTACAACATTAAAAATTTTGTTCGATTTCAGCTCAGCACGTAAGTTGTTTGTGTCTTGACCCATACAAATGAGCTGTTGTGCGGACCCCAGGGTCTCCCTGAGGATTTAGTTTCGTCTCTTGTTTCTTTCTTGGTAGGAGCATCTCAGCTCTCAGTTTAATCGCTCTGTCAACAGTATTCAATTTGCCAAATCCGCTCAACGCAATGCAGATTTTATGGATCAATATTATCATGGATGGCCCCCCAGCTCAAAGGTGAGGGGGGGATGCAGAGGGAAAAGAACAGCACGGATTATGCTGGAAGTTAAGGTTCAGGGCATGAATTCTGGAGGATGGCAGGCATGTTTTTTGGGGGTAAATTAGTGCCCAGATTTGTGTGGGCCATAGCAGGACTGGAAATGGATGCCTTTGGCCTGTTTCCCTCACTCTTTCTCTATCTCCACCCTCTTCTCTTTTGGGGACCCTTGGGGACTCCCCAATATAAAATAAAATCTGTTCCTGAGTAGAAATAGGGCTTTTTCAACCACAAAACATATTATATATTTTTTAACGTGAAGGCTCTTTGAAAGACACAAAAATGCCCTTTGAGAGTCATAAAAATTTGCACAAGAGAACACCTACCACTATATTGCCCAACGCATTTGCTGCATCACAAGAAAGCACTTCCTGCGTGGGGCTAAACTGTTTAGATTGCCAATGCGTTTGCTACATCACAAGAAAGCACCTCCTGCGTGGGGCTAAACTGTTTAGATTGGAGCAGTTTGCAAATCTGTATGTGCAAGAATTGGTTTACGGCTGCTACTCAATACATTGTGGTTTGCAACCAAGAATACAAGCCGTCTTCAAATTAAATGGATCTGCTTAGACACATTTTAAGCATGCCCAGTCAAGCCAAATGAATCGGTGCTTCTAAAAAGTCTCCAACTCAACCCTTCAGTGACAGCTGTAAGGGTTTTGGATTAGTCAAGCTGCTTATGGAAACACAAGTCTCTCTCTCTTAGAAGAACTTTATTTTGCCTGCTGATCTCAGAGTTGCTGACAAAGCAATCTGGCAAAATAAACTGCTCTGGTGGCCAAGATCTGCTGGTGGAAAACCCAACACCACCAAAAGAAAAAGATGGAGCAGGAGAAATGTGGGGTGTGAAGATGATGGGGTTCTGCTAGATTGAAAGCCTTTTCTGTCCAGGAACACTGCCAGCATGTTGGGACAAAGTTAGATCAGAAATAGGATAATCCTAAATTATTCCCACCATACTTAGGCTGCCAAGGGGGTATGGTTTCAGCACAGCTTCAGCTGGCCCAAGGTTGGTTTAGCTGGCCTGTGGCCATGTTGGCTGTTGAGGATAGTGCTCTGATAACCACCAAGTGTCTTCTTCTGGGGGAACAGCTTGGGCGTTGAACCAGTGGACAGAGATGCCATCAAGCAACCGCCAAGGAGCCTCACGGATACGATTCTTAGCAAGTCCCTGGTGTTGAAGATCTTAATGTCAGCCACTGTTATCATCAGTGGAACCATGTTTATCTTCTGGAAGGAGGTGAGGAAGATAGATAATAAAGCATAATCTGGAATAAACTTCACTTACCAAACAAACAAACAAATAAATGAGTGGGGGAGGGAGTCTGACCACTTTGATATTTAGAGAAGGGCACGAACCACCAGTTCAGGCATTTGTGCTGATTTCCTGGCCGAACAAGTGTTTGGCTCTTCAAAGCCCCGCCTCCTCTGGTGGACACCCACTCAGAGGCAGCGGACTGGCTTCCCTGCCCTGCCTCCTCCAGGCACTGCCTCTGAGTGGGCGCCCACCAGAGGAGGCAGGGCTGGGAAGTGCCCAAATCCCTGTTCAGCCAGGAAATGAACCGGCAGTTCGTGCCCATCTCTAGTTGTACAGTATTTGTTTGATCCTTTCAAGTATTTGTATACTTGTGATTTTTAGCTTTCAGTGTGGTCTTTTAATGATGTAAGCCATCTTGGGTCCTTCTTAAGGAAAAAGGTGGGAAATGAATGAATAAAGTAGGTAGATTCAGTTTGGAATTTGGGATTTTTCTAATTCTAGTGCTTTGCTCCAAAATATACAGTGGGCCATATATCCAAATTAGGGACGTGGTGGCACTGTGGGTTAAATTGCAGAAGCCTCTGTGCTGCAGGGTCATAAGACCAGCCATCGTAAGATCGAATCCACATGACGGAGTGAGTTCCCGGCTCTCGGCGCTTCTCCCAGCTCCTGCCAACCTAGCAGTTCGAAAGCATGTAAAAATGCAAATAGATAGATAGCTGCCACCACTGTGGGAAGGTAACGGCATTCAGTGTCTAGTTGCGCTGGCCACGTGACCACGGAAACTGTATTTGGACAAAAGGCTGGCTCTACGGCTTGGAAACAGGGATGAGCACCGCACCCTAGAGTCAGATATGACTGGACAATTTGTCAAGGGGAACCTTTACCTTACCTATGTATCCAAAAAAAGGAACGTCGGGGGGAGGAATTTAAAATAAAATAAAATTGGTCATCCACAGAGCACAAGATCTTTTGAATTAAGGACAATAAGTATTTGTCTCTTGAGCCCAGAAGTATAGTTCTTTTAGTTCCAGTAAACAATAAATCTTTTAATTAAAACGATTTAGCACTTATGGAGGTTGAAAGGCTATGGTTTTAAAACCATAGTCACAAGTATATGGTTTTAAACGTATGCATCTACAAATATCAACTATTTTGCTTTGAAAAACTATTATGCTGCAGGAAGGTTGTGGGTTATATCACCACCATTGAGCTGTTTCCAGGAATTTAACCCAGCTGTGTTGATGGAAACCACAATACTACAGTAGGTAGGCTTTACCTTCACAGCAAATGCCCCTCTGTCTGTTTCACAGCTGTCCTGGTTTTTATTTTGAGCAAATGTTCCTGCAGCTCTATCCATCACCAAGGATAGATTTAAAGCCATCTGGATTATATGGTGCTGGGCTTCTAATCTTTCCTTGAGAAGAAGCAAGATTAAATTTCAAGGTGACGGTGACTTTATAAACAAAAGGTTCATTGTGAGACGAGAAGGCTTGATTTCGCACATGCTCCCAACATCCTGGCTGTTTTTCTTTCTCTCTCACTTTTCTTGCAAATGAATTTTTTGCCTACATGTTTTACAGATTCCGGAAAGTGGCGTAACCCCACGGACCACGACGATGACGTTCACTTGCTTTGTGTTCTTTGATCTTTTCAATGCTTTGACGTGCCGCTCCCAGGTGAGACAGGGGTGGCTACTAACCCAGAGGAAAATCTGCTTTAAGAGGCTAGATAGCTGGCTGGAGAGCTCAGTGGCTGGGTTGGGAGTTCAATTCCCCACTGCACATCTCAGAAGAGCCAGCCTGGGTTGCCCTGGGCAAGCTGTACAGTCCCAGGGCACCCCTGAAAGAAAGGAATGGGAAACCACTTCTGATTATTCTCTACCTAGAAAACCCTGGAAAAAGTCACCATAAGTCAGAATTGACTTTACGGTGCATGATTATTTATTATCGTTATGAACATGCTCAAGATGTGGTTAAAATGAAACTCATGTTTTTATATCCAGTGGACAGAGAGCTGTCTTTTGACCATGCCATGTCTGAATTCCTGCTTTTAATTTTCTTGAAGCATAGGATCAAACAATGCGCTGAACATGTGAAGGCATATACCGTGTCTGCTTCCACACCACTACCTTAAAGATAACAGCAGAATAAGAAAATGATTGGCATCTCTCTGTGTGTGTGTGTGGGGGGGGAAGTGTAGCCCTTTTTCCTCAGACCAAAATCACATCTAGAACGAGCATCTTGAAGCTGTCCTTCTCTAAAGGGGGTCTGTTTGCTTCCTGGAGCAAACAGACCGATTGGAATGGGGAATTTTCTTCTGGAGATTGGCATGATAAGGAAGGCTATGCACTGAAATTCCACTTATTTGTGGTGGGGGTGGGAATCCTTTCTTTTTTTCCCCTTTTTTTTTGGGGGGGGATACACAGAATTCCTCAGCCAGGGTGCTAAACAGCCCATGCACTGCAGTCTCACTGTTTGAAAAAGTAACTTTACTCCAGTACAGCTCATAGAAGCTTTCATCCAGTCCCTCCACCCCGTGGTGAAAAAATAACCTAATAATACCTTTTCCAAGATCGGCTATTGACCAAGTCCTCATTTCAGTTATTTTTAAAGGAACTATCAGTCAGTTTAAAGCATTGTTTTAAGAAGGGATAAACTAGATTCACAAGAAACACCAATAGAACGTCGGGTCATTTCCTGGCTGCCCCAAGAATCCTTGTTTTGTTTTGTTTTCTCTCCCCTTAGACAAAACTGATATTAGAAATTGGCCTTTTCCGAAACCACATGTTCTTATATTCCGTGCTGGGTTCCATTTTGGGCCAGATGGCTGTAATTTACATTCCTCCTCTACAGAAGATCTTCCAGACAGAGAATTTAGGAGCATTAGGTAAGTCTGATAACTAGACGTTCTGATGGGTGGGGAGGGGATATATCTATTTATTTGTTCATAGCATATAGTGCTTTGGGGGGAAAAGTTAGATTATCAAGAGGGATTAATCAGTTCTGGGGTGGGCAGTCTTCCAAAGCCTCTGAAGGACATCTCAACCACTCCAAAAATATTTCCCCCTTTTTAAAAAGACCTTTTAAAAAAGTTCTGCCTCATAATTTTTTTTAAAAAAATATGTTTCTGGCCACTGGGGGGCAGGAGTTTTTTTTTCTTCTCTCTCTCTTAAAAAAAATCTTTTTTAAAAAACTGGAAAGCTTCCTCTTGATGGCAAAAATGGGACTTTTTAAAGCCATTTTTAAAAAGTGTCATTTTGGGTGGGTGAGAAAATGTTGATTCCCATTTGTGTAATCATCTACAATAATAATTTTCCCCTCTGCTTTCCTTCCTTGATAGACTTGTTGTTCCTCACTGGCCTGGCATCTTCCGTTTTCATCCTCTCAGAACTGGTCAAATTGTGTGAAAGATATTGCTGCCCCCGATCAAAGACAGACCACATCCAGCTGCAAGATGTGTGACTTAGAAGAATGAAGGTTCCTGTAGTCTTAGGTGTAGCTCAACAGTGAACTTGGGCTTTGCATATCAAGGATTTCAGGTTCAATCCATCTCCAGGAAGGGCTGGAGAAACTCCTGTCTAAAGCCCTGGAAAGCTGCTGCCAGTCAGAGTTTGCAATATTGGACTAGATGGGTCATGAGCTGGACTCAACGTAGGGCAGCTTCTTCTGTTCCTTAGGTTTCCATCCACATAAATCTGGAATGCTATTTCAAATGAAACTCTCGGTTCCAGGAATTCACACGGGATTAATTGATCTTTTTATACACTACTGAAAGTCGTCAAGCAGCTTGAGATCAACGGAGCTCTCATCAAACCACATTGTCGTCGTCTGCATGACTCCTCTCTTGTTCTATACTGTGTTTAAAGAGAAACTTAAAGCAAAAAGGAACCGCGACACAAACCCGTGGCACCATCAACATTTATTTATTTAAGTTGTAATAAAACTTTTTTGTTAATAAAACATGTTGTCAGGAGATCGTGTGACCTAACGATCAGAAACACACGTTCACACCGATACCCCACAAAATGTTTTGTGTGAACGTGAACCAGCATTTTCACTCACGGGAGACTAAAACGGAGGTTAGAAGTGTCTGGCATTCTTCATTCCCCAAGACAAAAAAATGTAATTAATATTACTGTTATTATGTTGGCACAGATATCTCTCTGGATCACAGGCAACTACAAGAAGAAATTATTTGGAAATTAGATTGTTATTTTTCTCTCTGCGCTCAGAACAGGTGCATTTTTTAACAACAGTGAATTAGAGGGAGTGGCTTAATATTTTAACAAACTGTTTCCAGGCTTTGGAAGACTGCCTGAAAAACACCCTTCCCTAACCTCAGAGCAACAGGTAGTCACCAGTCCCTAAATCTGACCTTGATAGCACCTATTGTTGGGACTTTTATTTGCAATCTCGCATGCAGCCTGTAGTTTGAGTGACTGGGAGGGACTTTTCTGCGCTGGGGTGATTATCTGTCCAGCACTAACCCATTGTTCCTTCCAGTCTCTCCATTCAAAGAGAGCCCCGCCTCTTTGCAAAGCTCTCTTGCCCTCTCTTTCGTCTTTTGGTGGCAGTTGTGTGTTTGCTGTTCAGTTCGTTGACGGTATCTGTGCAGTAATAAAAGCAGCATGCACAAGTCTGTGATTTCAAGCAACTGTATGTAATGTTTTTATTCTTTCTCCTACAAAAATGTCTCAGAGTGAATTCCTGAGACCTTAAGTGCCAGTTAATGAGAAAGCGGGGGCACTCTGGAAAACGTGTAGCTATTCTCCTCTGAGTCTCCGTACTTCTGTTGTTGTTGTTCAGTCGTTAAGTCGTCTATTCTCCTCCGAGTCTCGGTACTTCTGTTGTTGTTGTTAAGTCGTTAAGTCATGTCTGACTCTTTGTGACCCCCATGGACGCCAGACCCTCCTGTCTTCCACTGCCTCCCAGAGTTGGGTCAAATTCATGTTGATTGCTTTGACGAGCAATTCATGTTGGTAGCTTCGGTACTTCTACTGCACAGTTAAAAGGAATTTTACAAAAAGTTCAAAACTCTCAACACAGATAAGAACCACAAGTTCAGCAAGTACACACTGATCTCAAAAGCACGTGTGAAGGTTATTTTCTTTGGTCAGTGTAGAATTGGCTCTTTGCCCTCTAGTCAAATACTTTTGGAAACAAGCAAATAATGAGTATTTCTGAGCGGAAGACTGAGACCTTAGATTGATATGTTATCTGAACATACACATATGCCAGGGGTTCAGCTAGTATTTTTCACCCTAGGCCCCAAACCCAACAAAAGGTTCACTGAGGTTCTCAGAAATGTCCAAAATTCTTCTTCTAAAAAAGATTCCACCAAAGTTTTTTAAAAGAGAAAAAAATGCTGAAAAATAAACCACAGGAAACAGGAGACTCTGAACATGATCCAGAACGTTTTATTTGTTCTACTCAACCTGCATTTGACATCCATATATCTACATATATATACATACACCCACCCACTGGAAGAGACAGAAAGGAGAGTTTTCAAAGGGATAGCTGTGCCACAGCACGTAAAAGACAGCGTCTCCCCAAATCGGACGGCATCGTGAAGACAGAGTCATGAAAGATTATGCCATTTTTTTAAAAAAAAGGATTAAGGCCACGTGGAAAGCTGCAGAAGCAGCTGCTACAGCTATTTGGCACATTTCCAGTTGTGTGACAAGCATCTGGTCCAACAGCTACGCCCGGCTTTGCAACTTCTCCGGAGGGTAATCCCAACAGGATCCTTGCGGAAGGGCAAAATCCTGTTTTGTTCTACTGTGTGCGTGATGCTCTGCTGCTCAAGCAGCTCTTCCTTTCTTTCCTGGCCTTATTCACTCCCCGTCTTGCACAAAAGCGGAAAACCCTCTGCTCTCACAATTACAAGCCAGAGACTGAATGTTCTGCCTTTGCCCACAAAATTCTGCCCTTAAGTCTCTCAGCGGCCACCCAAAAAAACAGAAATAAAAAGGAGAAGCCTCCTAACACAACATGATTTTACACACTGGCTTCAGCCTTTGAGTTTCCCTACTGTGATCTCCCTTGGCTCCAGCGTGAATTCTAGATATTACAAGAAGTACCATATTACGGAGCTGGCCAACAAATTCACAGCAGGCTAGACTGGTTTCTGCAACCATGATTTCCCCCCTCGATACACTCACCCTTGTTCTTTTCTTTGCATAGGCACAAGGATGTACTTGTTAAAATTGTGTTTGTGGTGGACACCTTTGATAAAAAGGTCAAACAGATGATGATGAGGAAAGCCCCAATCTCACTAGGGCTGGGAGGAAGTACATACAAGACACTGGGACCATACCCACGTCTATATCCTTGGCTTGTAAAATCATTCAAGGTAAACATGGCTCTGATCTACCTCCTGGTAATGGCAAATCGGAGGGATTCTGCCTCTTTCCCTGGTCAAAGAGACTAGGACTTGCTTATGAGCATGGTCTACCGAAAAAGGTTTTCATAACATGGGCACTTATCAGCCCTCCAATTTATGTGATACCTGGAGTGGGCAACACGGTGCCCTCTGGCTGTTCCCGGACCCATGTTCCCTCAAACCCACTTGGATTTTGATTCATTTCAGAAGCTAAAAAGGTTGGCTTAATATTTGGATTGGAGATCACCGGGAATCTCCAGGTAGTGACAGAAAATTATTCTGCTTGAAACACTGGTGAAGTCCGGTACAAATTAGAGTTGGTAATACTCAGCTAGATGAAGCAATGGTCTTAATTCATACAAAGCAGCTTCCTGTGCTCCTTTGGGAGGAAACTCCCATGCCCAGCATGGTTAAAAAATAATCCTCCACTACCTGTTAAGACACTAGCCAGTATATCGCTAAACAGACCAGTGACCAGGAGAGATATTACTACTTTTTAAAAAGCATAGTGTGCTGCTTATATACTGTCCCATAGTTCTTAAAGTTCTCTCTGGAAGTTTAAAATTTAACTATGTAGGCTAAACGTTGCCTCCAAACTCCTTAGTGAGCTCAGAAGGATGGAAGGTTGAGTCGACCTGAGCACCGGATCAAATTCAGGTTCTGAGCAGAGTCTTCACTGCAGTACTGCAACTGAACCATGGCACCATAAGGTTACTTTAGATTGACAGTGCAGATACTTTATGTCAATCCTCTTTTGCAGAGGTAAGAAAATGTATTTTCTAGATTGCAATTTCAAGAATTGGCAGAACCTCATGGAGGATTCTGGGGGTTAGAGTCTATAAACTAATTTCCCCATGTTCTCTCCTCTTGTTGTCTTGGACTTGAATCCCATAAATGCAATGAAGATTTGCTAGAAACTGATTCTTACAGAAAGAATGAAGAAGCAATCTCAGAGCGTGATTTGATTTCTGATGAAAACCCCAGTGTGTACGGGGTTATATGGGTTTGCAAGGCAGCCCTGGATAAATTCTTACCAGCTATCAATGTGATGCTACTGGCTGGAGGGAGAGACCTTGTGAACCTGGTAAATTCATTCCAACCACCCTATGACTATGGACATTGTCATGATATCAGCAACCCAGTGGTAAATACAAATGACATACCGGTCTTTGAAAACTACAAGTAAACTTGCTTCTGTTTGGCTTCCTTGAAAGTCATGCCTCCTGAGCATTTCAAAATAATGCATGACCGCAAGGATTTAGAAAGAATGCATAATCACAAGAACTCTTTTGTGTTCCTAGCACCCTGCTTCTATAGCGTCTTCAATTCCTCTTCCTTCTTGATCTTGTGATCAGTGATATGCTAGGCCAAAATGGCACTACAGCAGTTGCTTCATTACTGCTTTTTCACACTTCACTGTAAACATGGCAATAACCTTGTTATGCAGATTTGGAACATAGACAGGTGCGCAAATCTGAGTGAGCATTCCTTCCATGATCTCTAAATGTAGGCTGAATTCTGGAACAGGTCCGTCTTGACTCAATCTCTCCAATTTCTCACTAATGCCTGTCTAAGAAATTTTATCCTGTGCTTCACACATTTCACCAGAACATGGTGATATTATTCTTTGGATTCCATATGGCTGAGAGAATCAGGGTGCGAGTAGGGAAAAAAAACAGGAATAAAACACTTTTTCCATATTTTGATTTTTACTGGGTTTGGCTGAAAGGTATTCTCGTCCTTCAAACAGGTGTCCTAAGCTGCGCCCACAGCTTATTTCATGATTTTGCACCAATCCATGCTGATTCAGATCACCACAGTTATGGGATCATGGGTGCTGGCCTGAACTCACGTGGCTCAAAAGGGCCAGCTATGATAATGCCACATACAACTTGAAAATAACAGGGGAGTAGCATCCATTTGCATCCCCAGATTATCTCATGCACCCTAAAAATTAACTCAGTCCTTTCTCATGCTTTGCATTCACATCCACGAGACAGTCCCCAATATATTTTTACATACTTTGAACCACAGCTACTGCCTAAACATCCCAAGCATGCATTTCTCAATTCTAATCCTAAAATCTAGCAACGTTTCTCTAATAGGCCAAATCTGGCTGAAGGAGCATTGTCTAAGAAAATCGGCTTTGCTTCGGATGGATGATAATGAGCAAAGACCCTTCTGAATTGTGACAACAAGCCAGAATCAATTCAAGAAACTGTTTTTGAACAGAATTTGTGAAGGCTGGCTTGGGTCAGATTCAGAGGCACCACTTGTACATGATAAGGAAAAGGAATTAAAATACACCTATATTTTTTTTAAATGTACAACCAGCTAATCTCCGCCAACCCAACACAGGGCATTTGGGTCTTCAGCTCCATGATCCATTATAGTTGGCCGTGTTAGTTGGGGGTAATGGGAACTGTAGTCCAAAATCTTTCCCAATTACATTGGGGAAAAGTTGTGTGATAGCTTTGATTATTAAACATCAAGTCAGACACCTAAATCATGCAGTCCTCCCATCTCTTTTCACATGTTCCTGTGCAGAACATGCATCTCCCAGCCAGGTAACCCCCCACTATTGCAGGAAAATATCTGAATGTCTGTGCTAGCTAGCTTTGACAAGAGGGGAGCTCAGAGACCTCTCTCCCCGAAGAACTCAACACCGGGCAGAAGCTTCCAAGGTTTATTCGGAGTCGTTGTCCCCATCTTCCCGCAATCCATCACTCTGACGGCTCTTTCCAATCATCTCTAGCAAAGCTTGGGCTTCGGGATCAACGTCCAGGACGCTCTTCGGCCCTTTTCCCTAAAAAACAAACAAACCCAGGATGATTTCGGGGGGAACAAACAAACAGAAAGTCAACAAGAGGACGAGGTCACAGTCAACCTGTCCTGGAGACTCTGTTTGGCTTGCTGGCCAGGTTGTTTCACGGGAGTTGCTCCTTGTCCGCCCCTTGTCTTTCTGCAAAAAGGAGAACAGGTTCTGCCGTCCACACCCACCCGGAGCTGCCAACCTGCTTTGCTGGCCCAGTCTAACAGGTTGGCTCAGGTTACCAGGCGGCCTGATATGGCTTTAACGAGGGGGACCTGCGTCAGAGCATAATCATTAGGCAATTAAGTTTTTTTTTTGAGAGGAAGCCCTGGGGTGCCACTGGGGTGGGGGGAATGGGAGAGAAGAAACAGAAGGGAAACCCAGTGGCTTGTCTTGAAATTATGGACGTCTCCCAGCTGCTGCTCAAATTAGGACAGAGGCAACATAGCTAATGTTAAACAGCGATTTATACGTTAACTGATTTGCCCGGCTGGCATTGGGATCACAGAACTTCTGTTCCTTTGGAACAAAATTTGGATTTTGAACATTGCAGGGTTAGCTTCTCCAGAGTGAAAGGGGGGTTATTCTAGCTCAGAGCTCTTTTTACCTTCTGGCACACATGATCTTCCCATTTTAAGAGAGAATTTGCTGCTATTGACAACATAACAGGATGAAGTGTATTTGTGTGTTTGCATGAGTATACAGGTTAAGTCTGTATAGCAGAAGAGGATGTTTAGATAACTTTGATTTTCTTTAAAACTTTACACCCCACCTTTCCACTGTGTTGGTCATCAAAAATGATTAAAATTACTACCAAATAGCAGCAAACAAAGGGGGGGGGACGCCATAAAAACCGCACTAGGATGGCACCTAACAGTCTATCTGTAGCAATTGCTCCATAAAATACTTAGGCAAACAGTACAGACTTACCTTGATGCCTGAAAGATAACAATGACGTTGTATTAAGCAAACCAGGACTGCCGATGAGTCCAAATCCTTTACAGACTCTTTTGCGGTGGTCCCACGTTTACAAAAAAAATACGTCCTCCACAATGCTTCGCTAGGATCTATTTCACTGTCTTGTCAAGACAACAGTATTATTTCCCTGAACTGATAGATGACTGATTTTACTGCTCCTCCTTTCCCTTATTACACTCTTTCTTCCTGGCTTTTTAATTTTTACTATTTGTTATGGTTGTCACAGGCCGGTAAGCCACCTCCAACTTACAGTGACCCTATGAATGAGCAATCTCCAAAAGGTCCTCAGCACCCCTGCTCAGATCTTGCACACTCAAGCCCTTGGTCCCTTTCGAGTCGATCCCTCTCACATTTAGCACAGGTACACTTGGGGAACAAAAAAAAGGGTGCCAACCCCCCCCGTATGTCTGGTGACCAAATACGACAAACCCACTCTGGCTGCAACAGATCCCCTTTTGTCTTCCGAAAACACAGGTTTGGAAAGAATGTGGCAGACTGAAGTTGATGCAAAAACCCTGGGACACCTTCGGGTTTATAGGTTGGCAAATGCTCAAGGGACTGAGGAGGGGTTCTGATAGGTCTCTTGTAAATATCTAACTAACTATCAGTTAGTCTTCAAGGGCCCACAACATTTTTGTCGTCTTTATTTTTCATTCCCCTCTTGTTTTCGCCCAATAGGCAAGCTTGTTTCTGACACTCCGTAGAACAGAAGCCAAACCGAGGGAGTCAAGTGACAGAAAAAAAACTCCGACGAAATATCAGAAAGGATTTCTTGATGCAAGAGCCGTTGGACAGTGGAAATAGATTATCTTGGAAGGGGGGAGGCCTCTTTCCTTGAAATAGAAGTCAGATGGCCATTTGTTGGGGGATGCTTTAGTGGTGAGCGTCTCACGTCCAGGGAAAAGCCCCACTGCTCTACTGAGAGAGTAGTTCAGGGAGAGGCTCCCCCTATGGAGCTTGCGAACAGCAAGATGACTCTCTCCACAGAGCCCTGAGGTGGTTCCTAGGAAGGGATAAAACCGAGGGGATGTTCCTTTCTTCACAGCAGAGGCATGTGGAAAGAGCCCAAAATGGAGGAAGCTCCCCGTTTCTCCCCATCCCAGAATTCTGCCTAGGGGAGCCCAGGCCAGCTCTGGGAGCGGATGTCCTTGCAACTGGAAAGTCCCATTCCTAGAGAGAGATACATTACCCAATTGGGAACTGGTTCATTCAGCCAAAGGCACAACTTACGGCGTCACTTGTAGGGAGGTCTCCCACGGCCCACACTTCCAGCGCATCCAGCGTGAAGTTCTCCTTGGCTGACAGCTGAGGGCTGTTGTAGGTGGTGCACTTCGGCTTGGCCTTGCTGTGGCCCTCCCCGTAGTTACTGTCTACCCAGAGTCCAAAGTATTCATGTTGTCCACCCATGCCCTTGGGAAAGAAGAGAAAGGGTTACTAAACGCAGCAAGGGGTCCAGTCATGGATCGGGTACCTGCGCTGCCACCCAAACCGCAGCCCCACCAGATCACCTCAAGGGGGGCTTTGCTGGATCAAAGAAAGGAGGCAATTACTTCACACATCCAACCACCCAATCAGATGTCTCTGAGAAGCCCTAAAAGTGTCATCATCTGCTTTTGGTACCCAACAAAAGTCATCCCATCCTACATCCTTCATGAGCAGCATGAGAGGGGTTCTGCTTATCCATAGACTCATTTCATTCCCTGTCAAACCCAGTTTAGTTCTGTAAAATCTACAGGTTCATTTGGCCATCTGAATAAATGTACTTCCTTAGTCGGTGTTGGAAGCAGTTCCAAACCCAACCGTCATGACAGATTGTGGGTGCAATGAGGAGTACAACAAACAGCAGCTCACAATAATGTGACTTCGATCACAGGGGCTCCCCCAATTCTTTGCCCATCTTCTCGAAGGGCAAAGGTGGTCTCCATGCACCTGCCTGACCCTGGCCTAAGCCAGAGGGCAGATACAGACTTGGGAATTTCCTGTGCCCTCTTAACTCCTACAGAAGGAGCCAGAAAAGAAAACATCAGTCTTTGCTTCAGAAAGGTCAGACAGTAGTCCTGTTAAATTCTCCACTACAAGTGTGTGAACTATCCTATTAATGGAATGCAGAGAGTGAGCTGGGAAATTCTGACCTAATTTTTGCCTCTCTGAATTATGTTTACTCTTCCTTACTGTTCAAGAAGCACTAATCTACCCCTTTCATGACCATAGTGGGCTGTAGCACAATACTGGGAACAGTTCATGCACCTATCGCCTTAGGATAGTCTCTTTTGTTTACATCTGGAACTTGTAAGTGTAGCTGTGAAGGACAAAATGTTCCCGAAATGTAAATATGCATTGCTGGAAACCAAAGCCAAGATCCTACACACTGCATTGTTCCTGTATAGACGTGAAGCCTGGCAATGAAGAAAGCTGCCAGGAAATATACAGAGATATAAATGAGGCTCTGGAGAACCTTGTACCATGGGTGCTGAAGAGACAAATAAGTGAGTTCCTGAGCAAATCTAAACTTTAAAATGATCAAAGGGAGGCTATCTGACTTTGCACGCATGAGAAAACAAGATTCCCTGGAAAAGGCAAAAGTGTTAGGGAAAAACTGAAGGCAGTAGGAAAAGAGGAGGAACCAAGGTGGAGGCAGACTGACTCAGTTCAGGAAGCCATGGCCTGTAGTTTGCAAGACACAAGCAGGATCTTCAACGACAGGACTTCTTGCAGGTTATTAATTCATGCGGTAAATCTCAGCAGCAACAACCTGATGGCCCATCGCAACACATCCACTACATCCTCTTTCTCTCACACTCTACTTTTCTATGTTAAGAGGATGGTATTCCTAAGGTGAGATCCTTTGCTTGCAGTCTTTAAACGCTGGAGTCCAGGAAGAGCAACACCAAGTAATTCTGTGGCCAGCCAGTGTAGATGGGGCTCTCAATCAGATGCGCAGCAAAGGCCATCCGGAGTGCTGATGGAAGCTGCCCATTTTTTCCCCCTCCAACAGCTCAACTTTTGTCTTCAAAAATACACATCACCTCCGATCTGAACCGGTGCAATCACGGCCCAGCAAGAACCAAACCGCGAGACCCCACTGAAAACAACTACTGGCCTTGAGAACCCATCATCATGAGGAAAGGAGAGGCAGGCGACTGCTTTCCACTCACCAGTCCATTGGGCATCATCTGCTGGCCATGATTCAAATACATGTAGTGGTCATTGTAGCCGGTGTAGGTGAACACCGCGATCGAGGGGAAGATGGAAAACAGAAAGCAGCCGTTGTTGCCTGTGAAGAACAGAGGGAGGAAGAGTCACGAACCAAAGAGTGGGAAACAAATACAACGGGGATCATCTCCTAGAGAGAGACGAATTGGGAAAAGAAGAAACAAGGGAATGCTCCACATTCGTGGATTCAGTTTTGTTTCTGCCTTAATCAAAGGAATGCTCCACTACTAGAACATTCGTGGATTCAGTTTTGTTTCTGCCTTCTCATGTGGCATGCAATTCAACTCAGTTGCTGATTAATGACTGACTGGTGCAGAATGTTACCGTGGGTCGGATACAGAACTCTTTCCTGATGTCATGCAACTAATCAATTTTCTTCTTCTTCTTCCCATAAGTGACCACCTGCTTAGTTATTGAATAAGAGGGCATTGTTGTAAATTCGAAAGCCCTGCGTTCAAAGTCCAGCTCAGATGCAAACTTGGTTGGCTTAGAACAACAGGGCTGAAAGATTTAATTGACTGGATGATTGTTTTTTTTAAACTGATTCACTAAGAGGGCACTCTAATTTATCATACAGCAGATTTTAAGTAGAGATTAAGTAATGGCTTCCATCCTTTCTTTCCAGGAATGAAACAGTTTGTGAAATGATATGGATTTGGGACACACGTCCCTTCTGAACCATGAAATTCAAGGTGATTTTGGGTCCCCCTCTAGGGTTGCTGTGAAAATAAAATGGAAAGAGAGCCCAGTTCACCACGAATGAAACAAATTGTGAAATGATATGGATTTGGGACACATGTCCCTTCTGAACCATGAAATTCACAGTGATTTTGGGTCCCCCTCTAGGGTTGTTGTGAAAACAAAATGGAAAGAGAGCCCAGTTCACCACCTTAAACTTACCGGGGGGGGGGGGGGGGAGAGAACGACATCAATACAAGTAATTAATAAATGTGACAGCCCGTCAGTGAATTGTGAAATGATATGGATTTGGGACACATGTCCCTTCTGAACCATGAAATTCACAGTGATTTTGGGTCCCCCTCTAGGGTTGTTGTGAAAACAAAATGGAAAGAGAGCCCAGTTCACCACCTTAAACTTACCGGGGGGGGGGGGGGGGAGAGAACGACATCAATACAAGTAATTAATAAATGTGACAGCCCGTCAGTGGTCCCCAACCTTGGGCCTCCAGATGTTCTTGGACTTCTACTCCCAGAAATCCTGGCCAGCACAGCTAGCGGTGAAGACGTCTGGGAGTTGTTAGTCCAAGAACATCTACGTGGAGGCCCAAGGTTGGGGACCACTGGGTTAGTTCAAGAACATCTATCTGGAGGCCCAAGGTTGGGGACCACTGGCATAGAAGATACAGTATTGGGCAAGGATTCAGGAGATATGGGTTCAAATTCTTACTAAGTCATTGGAAACTCAAGGAAAGAAGGAGATAGTAAACCACTCCTTGAGAGAGAGAGAGAGAGAGAGAGAGAGAGAGAGATCAAATTCTTACTAAGTCATTGGAAACTCAAGGAAAGGAGATAGTAAACTACTCCGAGAGAGAGAGAGAGAGAGAGAGAGATAGAGATTGATGGATGCATACACACACACAGAGAGAGAGAGAGAGAGAGAGAGGAAAGAAGATAGTAAACCACTCCTTTAGTGTTGCTAGAAGTTCGAAGTAACTTGACAGCAGATAAGAAAAACAAATATATACAGGAATTCCTATATATATTTATATTGACAAGGGAGAGGGTTGTTGCCATCTTATATGTTCACAACGTGGCTGCACAGCTGCATAAACCTCTCCTCATGAAGATGAGAGGAAAATAATCACTTTCACTACCTTGACCACCTACAGGGAGGAAAACTAAGGTTCTACTCTATATGGAGAGTCCCTACGGACAGACGGAGCTCTCTGCTTCATCCTCATCTTTGCACAGGGGAGGGGGGGAACCAAGGACAGAGAAGGTCATGCTTGAGTGCTCTTCCTAATCCCATGTGACTACATACAATTAGACACGGCCTGGATATGACTTCCTGTTTTTGGATGATCCTCCTCACCAGAGGCAACAACAGGACAGCCCGGCTACAGTTTTGGCATAATGGTATGATTTACATTTCAAAAACTGATCAGGGGAGAAGATGCACCTTCAGTGTCAGACCGGATGAGGCTCCCTCTGATCACTTGCCTACACATACTGGAGTCCTTTCCTCCCCAACCACTCACTTGATTGCCCTTTTGTCCAAGGTCGCTGGACATTTTATGTCAAGGGCCAGTAGTCTGAGATTCAAACAGGGCTTATTGCAGGCAATCGTAGATGCCCAGACGGAATTGACCTGTCTCCCAAATATAATCAGAAAGTCAACGGTGCAACCTAAGCCAATGTACTCTGAACTGCGGTTGTGTAAGAGTTGTGTGCCCGTGTGGATGCCCAGTAGGGGGATGGGTCTATTTGCTCTTCTGTGTTTTCTCAGTCATTTCCAAAACCTTGATCTGTCTTAGAGCCCTAAGCTCCTTAAGAGCTGGGTTGTCCTAGGACTCAGCACCAGATGCAAGATCGCCATCTAATGGGCAACCATAGCAATCTTCATTATAGCATTCATGTTTTAACTTGCAACCAAGTCCACTCTACACACAGTTTACTTGGCGGTAGGATTCAGAAAGGACATGAACTGGGAAGGGAGAGGAGTCAAACACCTAGGCATGTGCATAAGCAGGATTCGACAACAATGAAGTTTCATTAAATTAAAAAAACACTGCAGAGTGCAGTGTGGATACCAAATTCAGCGTCTCAAAAAGTTTAGTCTTTTTTAAAAAAAAGACAGCAACGTTTCTCATAAAAATTAGGATGGAATGCATATTGGTTATGCCTGCTGAAATTTCAGGAAGTGTAACCTAGTGAGATTTCCAGTAGCTGATGCTAACTATCCTGTTTCCCCTAAAATAAGGCCTAACCTGAAAATAAGCCCTAGTATGATTTTTCAGGATGCTCGTAATGTAAGCCCTACTCCAAAAATAAGCTCCAGTTAAGTGAAACCCCGCCTTCCACCCTTGTGCAGCAACCAGAATAAGATGACATGACTGTCTTTGAATAAACATAGATTGTTGTACATGAAAAAAAATAAAACATCCGCTGAAAATAAGCCCTAATGCATTTTTGGTGCAAAAATTAATATAAGACCCTGTCTTATTTTCAGAGAAACAGAGTTGAAAATGAATTATATGGACAAAGCAGAATTAATTACACTGAATTGCTCTATATGCCTAATGCATATGCCCCTACTGTAGAATTCTGCTTTTCTTGTGGCAGAAATTGTTTGCTTATGGAAATAAAAGACAACATAAGCATAGGATGTACCCTCAAAAAGCTACTTTTTGGTACTTGAGAACACACACAGTTGTAATTAGAATTGGAGAAGTTTCTTTCTTTTTTGGATTGCCATAGGCTATGCTGCCTGGAAGATTTTACAAGTTGTGGTCTAAGAAAGCTATCATTTTGAGCTTCGGCTACGATCTTTTCACACACACACACACACACACACAAAGGGTTCACAAGGCCCGAATACACCCAGCAAAAGGAAGTGAGGAAAGTAGAGATCCTTGCCTTGAAACTGTGGCTTAACCTCCCAGGAGCAAGATGAAAATCCCCCAAAAATGTAGCCATCGGAGTCTTTCAAGACCAGCACGCACGGCCCCTTGTTCACAATGTGGCTGCACAGCTGAGTGAAGCTCTCCCCGTGAAGCCGAGAGGAAAAAAGCAACCTCCATTTATGCCGGAGCTCTGCAGGTAGCTGGGAGTTGATGTAGATGATGGACGGGAGGTCAAGGAGACTGACAAAACGGTGCCCTTTGACGCCTTTGCATTCTGGAAGCAGGGGGACGGTGTCTCTGCACTGATCCGGGAGGGAATGCAGAACAAGCAGCCCTTGTTGGAGAATCACGCTGAGGAACGCAGAGACCTGTGGGATGCGGAAGATCCAGTCTTCAATGCTACTTTCATCACAGGTGACATCCAGCACCTGGGCTCCTTCAGTCTTCTTTCCATCTGAAGCAGGAAACATTGATTATAACTACAACAGGGATAATGAACTGTGCTGTCTTTCCAGCATTCCAAAACGAGGCAGCTGGATTAGATGGCTTTAAACAGAGGATCAGACAAATTTATAGAGGAGGCTGATAATTTAATTCAGCTTTAAACGCATAGATGTTCCTTCCTCTTTTGCTGGATCTGCTCTATTTCATTCCATTTTGTAGTTTAACAAACTGCACACCAGCCAGGAAATGCTGGTTTAAAAGTGCAAATAAAGACAAACACTCAAACACTAACGATCATCAGCTATTTCACCCAACTGAAAAGCTGAACGTCCATGTTTGGGGCCATCTATTACTACACACCAGCTGATCCTCACATACAATCCCTTCTACTCAATGTGACAAAGCCTGGCAGAATGAGGTTTCTTCATCCAACAGAAGGCAAAGGGGCAACAGGACCTGGTGAAGCACCGTGTTCTTGCAGTTCCACAATAGTTCCCTATTTGGAATGACGATATTAGACAAGCCAGACTTTCAGTTCTGTCAAATCAAGCCCACAATACAAATCTGCAATGTTGCAGGCAAATCAAGAAGAACTTTCTAAATCTGTTTAAGATTATTTATTTCTTCAATTTAGCGAAAATCAAATCCTCCACTTCTACCTGGATTAATCAGGCTGATCTCAGGGGGAAAGACGAGAGGACTGTGATCATAGGTGACTCCTGCTTTTCTCATTACTGTGCACACCTTGGTTTTAACTTCAGCTGCTTGCTAGGGCCTTGGGCTAAAACCAAAAGAAAAATGAACTTTTTCCAACTCACCTGCCGATTTTAATTCAGACACCAGCTGAGAAGCCAATGTTTTTACTCCGGTGGTGGAATTTTGCATATTCATTGGATCCCAACCCCGCAGCTGCTTCCTGACGTTCAGAACGTGGACGACAGAGCCAACCAGATCCTCTGCAAACTTCAAGAGAATTTTGTCTTCTGTGTGGAATGCTTACATACCACACACAGAAAAAATGAAGAGAAATCTCCCCTCCTCCCACCAAGAAAAGCTGGAATGAGCAACAATAAATACTAGTACCATGACACAAATAAATGTGGGTTAATTAATTAATTATACTATATTAAACCAAATAAATAAAATTGATTGATTGATTGATTGATTTCTCCTCCCACCAAGAAAAGCAGGAACAAGCACTTGTAAACAGACGGCAACAAAGACGTACCATGACGCAAATAAATGTGGTTTGTTTAATTAAACCAAATAAGTAAATA